AGAGACATCTGGAACCAGCTGAACAGCTCCATCAGGAGTCAGCCTTGGAAATGCCTTATCAGGACACCCAAAAAGCTGTTCAATATTCAGAAAAATCGATGTCTGATCCCTCTCATTTGCACGCAAAAGTGGAGGAAGAACAGGAAACGCGGATCTGTTGTCAAAAAGAACTTCTTCAGAAAATGGAGAAGGAGAAAGAACTTGAAAATAAACTGATGCTTCTAGTAAAGCAGCAAGGTGAGGGTGGAGGCCATCAATTTCTAACACAAGTGTCAAACCCCTCTACCTGGCTAGAAATGGTGAAAAACCTCCAGGAGGAAAGAGACATGTTGATGATGCAGCTGCAAGCTCAGGAGCAGTTAGTGAGAGATGTCTGGGAGCAGGAAACAGCTGCTGATTCCATGACAGGTGAAGTGCAGGCTCCTTTTGGCCATCAGTTGACAGCTTTGCAAAGCCAGCTTAGTGTTCAGAAGGCTAAAAACCAGGGAACAGCAGAGCTGTTGAGTCAGCAAACTGTATCTGAAGAGACATTGCTAAAGGAACAGGAGTTGCTCAAAGCTGAAATCAATAATAAAGAACAAAATTTAGCACTTTTGTTGAAGGAAAAAACAGCCTTAAGAGAGAGACTATCCAATGTGGAGGGGGATCTAGTGAAAGCAGAAAAAGCACTAGCAGAGAATGCTAGCATCATTGAGGACCTTGAGAAAAACATCCATGAGCTTAATGCTAAAATTGAAAACATCAAAAAAAAACAGGAGTTTGAAAGACTGAGCTATGAGGACAGGCTACACCTCAGCAACCAAGAAATTAATAAACTTACTGCTGAAATAAAGGAAAAAACTACTGAATACAGTGAGGAAAAAAGCCAGTTGACTGAAGAAATTGCCCAGTTGAAAAAGGTTCATTTGGAGCTTGAGGCTCGCTTGCAGGAGTCCTGTCAGGCTGTCCAGGAGGCTCAGTCTAAGATGGAGAAGCATTTCAAAGAGGAAATGGATAAGATGAAGACTCAGCACCTTGCTGAATTAACTGAAGTGAGTTTGGCACACCAGAGAGAGGTAGGAAACCCTGATAACTGCAGGAGTCGTGGGATTTCAAAATGCTTAAGGTAGTCATTGCAAATGTTTGTATGCCTGTTTTCAGATAACAGAGTTAAATGCTGAAATAAAAGACAAAGTGGAAGAACAACAGAAGTGGGAAGAAAAAAGAAAGGAAGAGATTGCTATAATAAAAAAGGTACATGCTGTAATTGGGTTTGTTTTGGAAAAATAAGGTCATTTTGCATTGTCATGTCAGCAGTGTAAACATTTTAGAGACACAAAATTCTATTTATTATTAATTTTTCCACAGTAGTTTTGATTTGGAATCGGGAGGGGAGAGAATTCTAGTTCCATAATTATGGCTAAACAGGCACATTTTGAAGAAAGCTTTTCCATGTGAGTGTTCTCTGCAGGTTCATGAACGAGAGCACGATCGGGAAATCTCTGAGCTGGCTGCTAAACACTCAGAGGAGATGGAGAAGCTCCGTGCTGAGCTCCAGGAAGAGCAGAAACACCTTTTGGATGAACTCCAGCAGCAAATGGCAGCCATACACAGAGCAGAGCATGAGCAAGCTCAGCTCCAATCCCAGGTAAAAACAGGACACACAGTGTTTAATATGGTTCTTAGCTGGCTGTTGGTGATCTCCAGCATAGACAGAAATCAAGGCCAAAGGAAAAGCAGTGTTCTCTTGGCAGGGGGTAGAAGATATTTTCTAGAGGATTTCTCCAGAGTCCTCGCTGCAACTATATTAACCTTAATTCTGAAGAAAAGTGGATGTTTAAACTGATGATTTTAAGAGAGTAAAAACAGCTTTGTAATTTTTTTGTCTTGGCAAGTTTAACAATAAATTTTATAGAGGATATAAGCCCCTCCCACTTTTAAATTATCCCAGTATTAGTAATTAGGAATACTTTCTTGCTATGCTGAAGTGTGAAAACCTGACTTTTACTTCTGTATATTTCCTGGGTTTTTGAACCCTTCCATTAAATGCAAAGAATATGTCTGGTGTTAGGTCTGTTACAACCTGTTGGTACACTGGTTAGTTTACTTAAGAATTGAGAAGTGGTGAATTTTATTTCTACTTCTCCAATATCACCTAAAACTTTATTTTGTTAACAAATTATAACAACAGCCAACATAAGGAATTCTTTCAATAGACAGTGAAGGGCTGGGGTGAGCTTGTATCTTGGGGTCTGCTTTGATATGAGGTAGTGGACAGATACAGGATATTTTGTAGGAAATTAAGAGTCAGGTAAGGAAAGCCTTTTACATTGCACTGAAAGCATTCAAATCTCATTACAGCAGCTTATATTAAGGGTTCCTTTCAAGGTCCTTGCCATAAATAAACACTCTCAAGTACAGAAAGGCAAAACTTAGATGTGTTTAACAGTCAAAACTGAAACTGGTCATGAAAAAGCGAGCACGTTTCATTAGAGGGGAGGGAGAAACCCTTTTTTACTCCACTGCAGACACTGCACAGCCTTGAACTGGAAGCTTTACGCCTGACCTTAAACAATATGCACACCTCTCAGCTGGAGCTTACCCAGTCCAACTTGAGGAAAGAGAAGGAGACTGCCCTCATGGAGCTGCGGGAGATGCTCAATGACAAACGTGCTCAGGAGGTAGCAATTCTGCAAAGCCGCCACCAGCTGGAGTGGGAGAAGGTCAAAGAGCAGTGTCTGAAGGAAAAGGAAGACCTTAAGTCCAAGTATCAGCAAGAACTAGGTATTAAAACTGGGGAATAAGTATTTTCTTCCTGCACAGGTTCCTGGCCTGTGAATGACAGCTGATGTTAGCTCTAATATGGGCAGGACTGCCATGTGCAAGAGTGCATGTTTTATATATGAAAATGAAGTTGTGCAGACCTAAGTTTAGTTGTTCTTCATCTGTAAATTAGTGTTAAACTGAACTACTGTCTTTCAGGAGTTCTCATAAAGAACTCAATCCGTGCAAAGAGTAGAGCTCTTATCCCTTGTGTTTTGTCAGGACTTTTCTTGCCCTAAGTCAGCAGTGCTGTTGTCTTTCTAAAAAGATGTGAGTGCTTCCTGCCTTACCCTCAGTGTTAGGAAAGAGTTGGGAAGGAGCTGAAAAGCTCAGTGAGAGGCCGTAGCTGGGTGTAGCACTTCATATAAGATTGTTTTTTGACATAATTAAGAAGGCAGTTGCACCTCATGGTACTGAAGGCCTGCTGCTGAGTCTCCTGGCATTGTTTGGGAATTTCCCTCTTTCCTGGTCAGACCATTTTTGACCCGTGTGGCAGAGCTTGAGGGATTTCTGGAGAAAGGTGAATCTTGCAGCACTTCACTAAAGAAGTTACAGAATCACAGGCTGGTTGGGCTCTCTGGAGATCATCAAACCCCTGCCAGAGCAGCTTCACCCAGAGCAATTTGCACAGGATTGTGTCCAGGAATGTTTTGAATATCTGCAGAGAAAAAGGCTCCACAGCCTCTCTGTGCAGCCTCTTACAGGGCTCTGGCACCCTCAGTTAAGAATTTTTTCCTTGTATTCAGATGGATCCATAGGGAAAACTGCTGGCTGCAGGCTCCAGCTAGACTCTACACTGCTCATCACACCCCTCTGAGCTCTGAAATAAGGTTTAGAAACCATTCCTGTCATTGTCCTTCCCTAAGAGAAAGAGAACATTCATTTAAGGGTGTTACTTTTTGACCTAAAAGTAGGAAATAATTTGTTACCAGCAGTAGTGCAGTGAACTGATAGTGGGATTTGGGAGCAGGAGGTCAAGATGCAGTTCTTAATATCAATGCTGTTAGGGTGTGTTTTACCAATGTAACTTAATACCAGTTTAATCACAAAGTTTTCACTTCCTTTGGAAAGACTTGAAATAATGGTTGCATGTTATAAACTATTAAATTTTATAAATAAGCCTAGGCAACAGTGCTTTGCTGCTGTGGGAAGGTGGCTGATTGGCCTTTACAGGGTTCCTTCAAATCCAAAAAGAGACTGAAAAAGGAGCTGGGATTAATCAAGGGAGGAGCTGGAAAGGAAGAATCTATTGGTGTCAGTGATAGCTGAGCAGATAGTGGCATCTGTCTTGCTGTCTTTTTTCCTAGACTTTTGTAGAAGAAATTTGAACTTTCCTACCTGCTGCTGCATGCTTCTCCTTTCTGGATATGATTCTGTGCTCATAGTGGTGTGCAGTGAAATGTTAGAATTAAATCAGTAGTAATTTGAATTTGTATCTTTAGGGTTATTTTTCTTTTTAGTATCATCTTCTCTGTAGACTTAAGCAGGCTTTACTAATTAAATGGAACTTTTCTTTCTGAGTTGTCTTTGCAGCTGTAGGCTCTAGAATGCTTGTTTTCTAAAATTAAAGTGAACTAGCAGGATGTAACATAGCAGCAGGTGTGGCTAGAACCCAGCTCTTACCCTGCTCCATGCCTGCCCATTTAAGTCCTGAGTTTGATGTTGAAAATTGTAATCTTATCCATATTTCTACTTACCACTTAATATTTTGCATAAATTTATTAATAAGTATTTTATTTCACAGTTGACCAGAGAAAGAAAATAGAATTGGAAATGGAAGAGACACATGTCCAGGCATTAGAGGTACAAATTATCTTCTTTATACAAGAAAAAAATAAAGCTCCTTTCAGAAGACAAGAGCTGGTACAAGTCCCAGATCTGCTGCACATTTATTGTAAAGGATAAATAAATGGAGAAAAAAATTATTAATTTACTAAGGGTGTTTGCTTTAATATAATGCATGTCTTACTCTCTTAGACCCTCAAAAGAGACTGGGAATTAGAATCTGATAGACGTTTAAAAGACATGTGTGAGGAGCTGTGTGAAAAACATGAGACTGAGATGATTGCACTGCAGAAATCTCTGGAAATGGATTTGGAAAAAGTCAGAGCAGAGCTGGGGCTTCTTTCTGTGGAGAATGTCCAATATAAAAGTAAGTATCATGGTCTGGGAGGCAGCTGTTTTATTGAACAGTGACATAGCTAGGGGATTTTACAACATGTATAAAAGCAAATAGAGGATGTATTTATGTAGCTTGATTTAAAAACTGGGATAATGGCATGGGATGATGTCCAGACAACAGGTTGTAAATGAAAAATTGTTTAAAACATGGATATCATTGTTGCATTTTGACTTGCACAGAGTATGAGATGTGTGGTGAATATTAAAGGAAGATGCTGTCTTGCATCTGTTTTGACAGTTGCTGAGTTAATCAAAACTGTGATTAATATTAATAGAAGCTTTCTCTAACAAAAATTGCATTTGTGTTGTGAATAGTTCAGGCTTCATGGAATGAATGGTTGTCTCTTGGCTAACAGTGTGGGATGCAGTGAATGGAAATGTTTTAACTTTCAAATACTTCACTGTCCAAGCATTTCTGTGATTCCCTGAAAGCTAGTACTTAAGCTAGACACATACATTTCTGGTTTTGTTGCACAGAAGTTGTACAGGTTATTCATTAACCGGGATGAGAGAGTAACAGAACTAATTTTTAATTTTAGTGAGATGTATAGAATTGGAGAAGCAGCACCAGTTAGCCATCACAAAATTACAAGAACAGCTGCAGGCTGAACATAATGAGCTCCTAGAAGACATAAAGAGGAAAAGCCAAGAAAAAGAACAGGATCTTCAGAAGGAGGTAAATTACATTTCTTTAGTTGTTTAGAGCAGTTGGTTACTCTTTATGTAACAAAAACTGCACCATATACAGATCATTTGGGTGACCTGTTTGTATTTAGGGACATGATTGAAAAAGCAAAATGCATCATGAAGCAGGTCAATACTCTGAGTTTCCATAGGCATTCAAAACCTTTGGGATGCCGTAACCTTTGTGTCATTTGGTGCCATCTCTTCCTCTGTATTTATATTCCTAATTTTCTGCTTCTCACATTCTGTTTTTATCTGGCTAATGTCTTATTTTTTTGCCAAAGAAGATAATTATGGCATCAGGAACAAATTCTTCCCTCTCAGAGGAGTGGGTGTAAGAGTTAAGAGATGCTGTTACTCAGTATATCTGATACTGTCAGGAGCTGAGAGTGGTGTTGCCACTCTTTCCACCTATTTCTGACAGAAGTGTCTTTTGCATGTAAAATAAGCCCTGAGAACAAAATTGTTTAACAAGTTTGGGTGGGTTTTTTTTTTTATTTCTAACATGTTCTTTTTGTAGCTGGACCAACTTCAGGTCGAGCATGAGCAGCTGAAGGCTCAGTCACAAGAAGAAATCAGGCAGCTTTGGTCTCAGCTCAACAGTACCCGAGCAAATCGACAGGAGCTAAGTGGTATGTTCCAAACTGACACATTGTACTTTCTGCCTCTTCTTCATACAGAAGTGCACATGATTGGCACAAAATGCTTTTAACTGTGTGCCAGAAACATGGAGGAAGGCCACAGTGTCAGTGGGTTGTAGCTCAATGATCTGTGTCTAGATTGAGCTGAGTGAGTGTCAGATGACAGGTTCTGCAGTGTCAAAATCATGCTATGACTGTGGGGAAAAGCTTATTCCTGTGTTTTTCCTTTCCCTTCCCACTCCCTCCCTGCACACTGCAAAAATCTTTGGTGAAAATGAAAGGTTTTTCACTGAAATGTCAAATTAAATATCCTGTAATTAAAAACTGGAGAATATGCTGGTCAGTGCAGTAACATGTTCCTATTTGTATTTCTGTTTCAAGATCCAGGTGTATTAAATAAAACAGCCAGTTTTGCAGGGTAGTGGTTGGAGATGACATACACTTTTGAAATAAAATATATCATGTCTTAGATGTGTGTGCATGTATAACACCTTAAAGAACTTCTGAGGAAAAAAACCAACCTAGAGACCATGACTCTGCCAGTGTTGAGACTCTAACATGAGGCTCTTGAGTTCTGCTGGAGTAGTTAGAACAGAAGGCACAAGTAACATACTTCAAATATGATTTCAGATATTTTGAATAATATAACTGTAGGTAGCTTTTAAAGTGTATTAGGGTTTTGTTTGGTTTGCTCATACATTACATAAGTAATTTTTTTTTTCTATCAGGCAGACTTTACCTTGACTATTTCATCTTTTTGTTTTGATATTACAGAATTACAGTATATAGCACTTGATAGTATTTGCTGGAATTATCCTCTGTTGCCCTAATCTTTCACCCTTCACATGTCTTTCCATGTTTCTAATCACTCACAATCCCATTCTTTGGACCCTTTCTGTTTCTTCATCTTTCTTGAAGATGGTGAGACCAGAATGCAGGCCCATGGTCCAAGTAAGGATCTCTTTCCTTGTGTGAGATCTTGAGGGTGTTTTAGTTTACTCTGCTGTTCTTCATTTGAGTGATGATTTGGGTTGGTGGTAGGATTCAAATCACAGCAGCTGCTCTGGTGTAAGAATGACATGCCAGTTCAAAAAAGCAAAACGCTTTTTTGGGCTAATTTTGTGCTAGTAGGCTTTGCTGGTTAGGCAAAACCTACCCTTGTCAGATTGGATTTCCCTTCCCTTTTGCATTGATGGTGTTACTGGTCCCTTCTTGTCACTTGATTCCTCTGGTCCCCGTGCCTGGCAGCTTTTCCCTTTGGAAGCAGGCTTGAATCTGCTTATGGACTTAGTTCACAGAATCATGGAGTGTTTGGGTTGGAAGGGACCTTAAAGATCATCTCATTGCAACCCCTGCCATGGGCAGGGATACCTTCCACTATCCAGGCCCCATCCAACTTTGCCTTATTTCTTAACACTTATTTCTTCTCCTCCTCTTTCTGTTTGCATGTTCAATTGTGAGAATTTTTGCATGCCACTAGTTCATTTTCTGGTTTGCTACACAAAACCACATAGTGGCAATCAGTTGTGTTGCTCCTGAATGGCATCCTCTGCTTCCATCAATGTTTCTTAAGTTTCTCTTTGTAACATAAGCAACTGCTCTTCTACAGGCAAGTTGTATATTTTCAAGGAACTTCTCCAAGTTTCTTCTTGAAATGTGTTTCCCTCTTCAGTTGATTCTTTGGGGATTGAACTAACTTGAATTATTTGGAAAGTTGAGCTCTTGGGAAAACTTACCTCTCGAGTTTTTTTTTTCCCTTTTCTTGTACCTTTTCCCATTACTGCTGCTTTAATACAGAAGTGGGGAAGAAAGCTCTGAGGGCTGATGAAAAAGCTGTAGTGCTGGCCATTGTTCTCACTCTCTAGAAGGAGGGCAGCTTGCTGAACCAGCCTTGGTAGCTGCTTTTTACTGCATTCCTGTTTTATTATTCCTGTTTTATTGGTTGATTCTTTTAATCCAGTCAGTTCAGCCTCTGAGCACACAATGGGTAAGCAAACCATCGTTAAAATTATTCAGAAATGGTTTTGTTTTCCTTCTTGTGATTTTTTTGGTTTTCTGCACGGTTTATGTTCAGTTTGGTTTTGTTTGGATAATTTTGCCTGGAGCAAATAAATGTTCTTGAATAATTTATTGCTTCTGGGTGCTACAACAGCAAGCAGGTGTGAAGATTAAGCAATAATGCAGGACTCTGCTTGTTACCAGCCTAGTCCTGGACTGCAAGAAAACGAGGAGAGCTAATGGTGTGCTGGTGATTTTGGTTGTTAGCATGAGGATGGATTCTTTGAATGCAGTGTAACTGAGAATGTCTTCAGAGGAAGGAACTTTCTGTCTTTCAGAAGTTAATTTTTCTTATCTCATTGCTATTCCAGTAAATGGTTCTTACCTCAACTTGTGATCTCTGACTTTTGTGACTCTGATTGAAAAGGGAGTGGCTCGTGGTGTTTTTAGTAAAAATATTAATGGGACAATGCCATTCCTAAACCACTGGGCAATTAAATCTAATCTTCACAGAATAACTTAGCCTAAAGAGATGTATTCTTAGTGCTTGTGTTGGTTTTGTCTTCTTTCCAGAGCTAAAAGAGCAGCTCCTGGCTCGAGCATCACAGGTAAAAGACATAGAGTGTTTAAAACAGGAGTTTGAGCAGCAGCTTCAGCAGAGAAACAGGGAGCATGAAGCTGAATTGGAACAACTGAGACTTTATTTTGAAAACAAGTTAATTGTTGCTGAAGAAAACTACAAAGAAGAATTGACTTTGTTGCATCAGAGACAGCAGGAACTGACGGAATATTCGCTGTCAGAGATGGAAATGAATCAAGATCAAGCAGGAGACACCAGGTGATCTGTTCTTTTTCCTTTCATTTTATGGCATCATGCTTCAATTTTATTTTTCTTTAACATGAAAGATGATGTTAGCCTATTGGGATTGAGGATTAGGTGATGGCCTAGTCCTGAGCAGTTGTTACAGTTTTTGCCTACTCTCATTACTACACCATAAGTCATGAAGTACATTGAACTTGATTCATGACATGTCACAGTTTTAAACTTTAAAACCCTTTTCTCAGGTCTTCTGTCACGCTTTTTGAAGAGACTTCTGAGAAGGAGAGAAGTGTTGCACTTGGTCAGCTAAACCAACAGCTTGAACAACAACAGGTAGGATTTTTGATATAGCAAAAGTTCTACTGTTCTTTACGTGACCTGTATGAAAACTGATGTCTGATTCCTAGCTCTTACAAAGAGCAAATTAATTTCAGATGTTTAGTAGGGCTTAATTATTTTTGACAAGAATGCTGTGAATTACCAACTTTAAATAGCTCTCAGCCTCAAAGAGACTAGAGTAGAAGAGCTGAAACAGTGCTCTGTAATTTTATGTGCTGTTTGGGTTATCCTGTGCTGAGTAAGGAGTTTTTCAGTTGTTCTACACAAGTGCAGAATTCATGGTGTTTCTCTTTTCTATAGTTCTGCTAATAATTGTGCCTGTCCTTGTTCTCTTGAATCCAAGATGCTAATTTGGCCCCTCTTATATTTATGCCCCTATTTTCATGCACCATGCAGCAACTGAAGATCTCAACATTTTTGCTCAACTTGTTTCAAGTTGACTAAGAGTTTGGAAAATGAATTTTCCTTTCTCTCATTGAAAGATTCTCATAATGGTTTCTTAGAAGCTAAACATCTCTTCCTGACCCTTTATTTCTGTAGGAAGAGCTTGCCTGTTTGCAGCTACAACTTACAGAACAACACAGGCATGAATTGGATTCCTTAAGATCTTCCCTTGAACTTCAGTATAAAGAAGACCTGATGAAAATGCAGATGGATCTGTCAGACAAACATGTGACAGAAATTGAGGCCATGAAAAAAAAGCATTGTTTAGAACTTGAGCAGCTCCAGGCCCAACTTTCAGAAGAACATTCTAAAGGTAGGATGGTGTGACAGACTGGGAAGGGAAACACTAAGCTGCTTGTGTGGCTTATATTTTTCTTTAAGCAGGCTTATCTGAAGAAGTTTTCAGCTTATTGGTTTACCTTAACCTATGGGGAATATATAACAGATGTTGATCCCTTTCATAAAGCACTTATGGGCATGTTGAGTTGCCTTTCCAAGGATGTGGTGAGCTGAAGTTGTTTATTCTGTAGTGAAAACTACTAAAACTGTGGAGCAGTTCCTAAAAGGAGTTGATGATGTTTCAATTTTTGATGCTTGGAAGAGCACTGTCATACAAACATTTGGACTAACAATAAATAGCTTAGCTAATTTAACACACGTGGTTATAATTGTATTCCACTGTATGTTGTTTAAAAGGATGAGTAGAGCTTTTTAAATTTGTCCTTATATGTCTTATCTTGAATGATTTATTTTTAATACTAGAGAGGATATCAAAACTACTTAAATTAGAATGTTTAGAGATTTGTCCCATCTGACTTCTGGGGAAATGCCTTGTGTAAATATCATGTGCAAAAGAAGACTTAAAACTTCCATAAATCTGCCATTACATTGCCCAGAAACAAAGTCTGCTCCTCTGGCTGTTGCAGATAAGGAGGGAGGTCCTGCCACAGGTTTTATGATTATTCTGTGTGTGTTAATACTGGTAAATTCCCAGGGTGGTGATAAAATGGGCAAGAGTATAAAATCATCTAGCTAAGCAGTTCTCCTCGTCCTGTAGTTAGCATGGCTACTGATAAATTGCATAGCTGGCAACATTCAGCTTTATTTCTGTGCATCAATAGGAGCTGTTAAGATAAATTTCAGAATGTCTGTCATTTTATTGACTGGCTTGGGTTTATCCTTTAGTTTTTTTTTCTTTCCAGAAATCACCAAACTGTGTCTCCAGAGTGCTCAAGATGTAGCACATCAGGTTGAGATGGAGGTGGCTGAGCGAGTGTCTGCATTGGAGGAAGAGCACAAAGCCAAGCTCACTCTCTCCAGCTCTGACAAACAGCATATTGCAGAGCTCTCAGAGGAAATCAGGCATTTAAAGGAAGAGATTATAAAACAAAAAGAGTTTTTTGAGCAAAATGAAAAGCATCTGAAAGAAGAAATGGAAAAGGTCATTTGTGCTACAGAATTGTTTTGTGTAGAGTTGGGCAAACTCCAGCTGGTGGCAAGGCCAAGGGAGGGAGAGGCAGCACTGGCATTTAGAAGTCCCAAGTTTGGGGATAGTAGCTAAAGCTTTAAATGGACCTGCTTGGATAGGCACAAATGTTGGAATACACTTCTCTTATGGTGTAGCTCTTGTACCTCAAAGTCTTATAGTTGAGACAATCATACTGTCACTCTCATATGTTAAATGAGCTGTTCCATCTGAGGATAAACTTAGATTGGGTTTTAATTCGTTGCTTAAATTGTTGCGTATTTGAATGCTTATGAGAATTAGATGGGTGAAGCTCTTATTTATCAAGTCCTCCTTTCCACCCCTTTTAAAGAGCCATGGATATGTGTATCCTTTTCCAGGCTTAGAAACTGATGGAGAAAGCCAGACACAGTCTTTTTTTGCTTTCTGTCACTGAGCAATCATTTGCTGCTTTGGCTTCTGTTTTTGTGCCACATGTTTTTCATGTGGCTTTTAAAAGGAGAAGTTTAAAAGGTATTTTTATTGATGCCTAGTATAAACACCTAAGATGCCCATAGCTGTGTAGGTTGAACTCCTGAAAAGAAGATAAGTGACCTTATGAGAAATTAACATATAGTACCTTTTCAATGCTAGAATTCTGCCTTCATAACTCAAATTAATTCTTAATAATGCATTGAATTTAATGCATGTCAGTTTATAAAATGTCATTTCAGCCTTATTTTCATTAGGAAGGCTTACTTCAAGAATTTTCATCTTTCCAAGACCTTAAAGGCCTGAGAGCGTTCAGTTCATGCCCTTCAGTTTGGTTTTGGTTATTTATTCTTTTTTCGTTTAAACTATTATCTTCACAGGTAAAATATAAAATTGCTGAGGATCACAAAAATGAATTAAGAGAAGAAGTCCAGAAAATAGAGAATATGTATAAAGAAAAAGAGAAGAAATGGCAATGTGAAAGTGAGGCCCAGAGAATCCTAGCAGAAGACAAGTTAGCACTGTTGCAAATAGAACTGCAAACCAGAGCAGAATCTGAGAAGCAGAACTTAGAAAAACAGTTTGAACTCCGTGAAGCTGAAATGATTCAACTTCAAGGTCACCAAGCTGCCAAAATTCTCGAGCTGGAGAAGCTGGTGAAGGAGCAGCAAAACAACTTGCAGCAGTTGGAGGACAGCCTTGCAGGTGCCCAGGCTGTGCAGAAAGCTCAGCAGCAATATGAAGCTGACCTGGAGGCAGCCAAAACCCTCATGGCAAAAGAAATGGACAAGGCCACCCTCTGCCTGCAGGAAGAATGTGCACTGAAACTCCTGGAAGCACAAAACAAGTAAGTTTCCCTTTCCCTTCCCACTGTTAGAGTTGCTTTGTCTTACTTTAACCTTAATGAGTGATAGTGCAAGACAGTCACTTGATGGCACTATCTGACTTGCATTGAAATCATACACCAGCCTTCACAGAGAAGTGTGATAGCATCTGTAAGTGGAAAAATTCTTTAAATGTTTTTAAACAATTCAAATGAATTTAAACAAGCTTTTCCTGGTGAATGAAGCTTGTGCTAACCCTTGAGTGCTGAGGCTGATGGGGCCCCTTTTGGTATTCTTCAGTTCTGGTTAGATGCCTGGAACTACTGTTTTTCTTCCCCTTCCTACACCTGTTGTTCCAAGTGAATTAAGGGAAGTAAACCATATGTTGATGTTTGCAGGCTTTGCTTCACATTTATCCCTTCTTCCCTCCTCAAAAATATGTTCACAGAACAATACTGGAGAAATAATGACTGTAAGGAAATACTGAAAGCAGCAACTTAACTTGTAGATGAGTGGGGTTTTTTTTAGTTATTGGTGCCTGCATGCAAAAATACTGTAGTTACTGATTGCAGTAAATGGCAGCACTTCAGATACTAAATCTTCTGCATGAAGCTTCAAGCAGAACTCAGCTGGGTTTGGAGGAACCCCCAAGTATCCCATATACACCTCCACAGTGGTTTTATGTCTGTCTTTACCAGATGTATTTAGAGGTGTTTGCTATGACAGTTCATTTATTTGCAGATGACACATTTGTGATGTAGCAATGTATGCACCACGAGATACTGTCATGGCAGTGTTTCTCAAATATGTTGCTCTGTATTTTTAAGTTGCCAGTTTTCCTAGTAATAACCAGATACTCCCAAGTGATATTGCAGGAACCTTTAATTATATGGCTATGAAATCACTGTTATAGCTTGCTTTGAATTTAGTTCTGTATTTGAAACATCAAGTAAAACTTGTGGAGGTCTATTTATTTTCCTTGGGTTATTATTTATTTGCTCAATTATTTAAAAAAAAAACAGTGACTTTTTTGACAATAGTCTCCTAATTTTCTTGGAAATAATACAGGTTTATGGAGGAGCACAAAGCAATGACTCAGAAATTCACAACTGAGCAAGAGATTCTTCTCCAAAAGCTGAAAAAGCAACATGTGGATGAGCTGGAACTCCAAAGTCAGCAGTTACAGGAGAAGCATAAGCAGCAGATTTTGTCTCTGACAGCTGATTTTCAGGCAAAACACCAAGCTGAAATTGAGACACTTAAATCTACATTGGAAAGTAAACACCAGATTCAGCTTGAAAGTTGTGTTGCTGAGCTACAGGCAAAGCATCAGGCCCAAATCGATGAGCTGGAGATAAAACACTTATCAAATCTGGATTCCTTGGAGTCTTCCTACCTATCTGAAATCCAGACTGTAAGAGATGAGCACAGTCAGGCTCTGGAGAAGCTACAGCTGCAGCACAGGGAGCAGCTCCAAGAGCAGGAGAAAATGCATCAGGCACAACTGCTTCAGGAGATTGAGATGCTGAAATTAAAGCATGCTGAAGAACTTCAGCTTTCCCTAAATAATTTGAGAATTGAGCTAGCTACTGTTAATATGGAGAAACTTAAAACCATGGCTCTTGAGGCAGAAGAAGCTCATAAGGTGAGTCAGAAAGAAAACCAGGCACAGGAGGTGAAATTTCCTGACACATTGTGTGGGATCTCCTTTTCCTTTGTTCTCAGGGGATATTTCACAACCTCTTTGTGCCAGCACTGACACATTGTGTGTGGCCATATTATGAGCTGAAACAGGAAACTCTAGCTGAAAATTAAATCCATCTGTTGCTTCCTGGCCCAGATGCTCAGTCTAACGAGTCCTGTATAACATTTGTGGAAAAGGTACAAGTTAGGTATGTCTTTTAACATATTTAAGATTGGAGGATCTCCATGTTGTGACTCGGATCTTCTCTCCCCAATAGAGCTATTGTGTAATTCTTCAGAAAGTGATTAGACCAAAGTAAATGCAATTCTGGAGGTTAAGCCACATCTTTAGGAATCTAAAGATCCTTCCAAATAAGTAAGGACTCACAAAACTTACACTAGATAAGAAAAATAAACCCATTTAAATGTATTAGAGGATATGTATATGTGCTTATTCTTCATGAAACAATATTGTTCCTGTTTACTTTAAAAGCTTTGATGCAGCAGGACATGTGCTTGACTAATGGGTTGCAAAGATATTTGTACTTACTTTTTTTCCCCTCTTTTTTAATTAATGCTTACACAGGATGATGTGAACACTGCTCTTCGAAATCAAAGGCAGTTGCTGGAAGAAGAAAAACGTCTGGCTCTGGATCTGTTACGTGAGGAAGTGTTGCAGATGGAGCAAAAGCACAGGAAAGCACTCCAAGAGCTTCAGGAGCTTCATGAGGCAGATATTAGGAAACATAAGGAACAGTACTCCAGGGAGTTGGAAGAACAGCTGGGGAAACTAAAAGCACAGCATGAACGTGAGCAAGAGGTCAGAATGCTGCTAATACCTAAATCCAAGACAATCCATGTTTTATCATAAAGTAAATTCAGTTTTATTGAGCTTAGGCTGTATATCTCATGGTTTTTGAATTTTTTTTAATAGTGCCAATAGTAAGAGGACACAGTCTGACTTCTGTAGAAGCAAGCAGCCACTAGTGTTATATATTACACTCATTTAGTAGGAAAAGTCACAAACAAAATGAGCTTTATCCAGCTCTAACCACAGAACACATTAAGTTAAAATATTACTATCTTTGCTTTTTCACTTACTAAATTGAAAATTGATAATATTCCAAAGAACTCTGAAATCACTTTTAGAACAGATTGCCTGGGGAGGAAGTTTCATTAGTTTCCTGGGAGGTTCTAATTGTGAATTCAGTCTCCAAGCACATCATCCTAGAAACAGGATTTGTCTATTCTGATGACTACAGTGACTCCTTTTAGAGAGAATAGTAGGAAAAATAATCCCCAAATGAACAACAATCTCTCAAACCTTTCACTATTGTATCCCAGGAGAATTGCATTAAATAGAGATGCATAATGTTTGCTCCCATTTGAACAAGGGAAATCATCTTAACAAAATATGCTCTCCTTGTGTTTCTCTCCTCCTCTTTCCTCTCTGTTTTTCTGAATTTCTTTTAGGGAAGTGTCTATTGGAAAGAGTAAGTCATGTTAGTCTGACCTGATGGTCTCATGAATACAGGAGATACATGATACTTAATGCCTGGTTGCTTCTTATCTATTTTTATCAACCTGCTTTTTTCTATACTCAGCATGATGACAGGCAGCAGCCCTGTATGACCTTGAGGATTGTGAATGTACTATTCAGAATTTGGTGTAGCTTGATGGGTTTGGTTTCATTTTGTCCTTGATGCTAACACTGCAGCTAAAATATTATCTATTCCTTCCTTGTCTGCAGCTGTATGCTTCTGCATCAGCTTCTGAAGTAGAATCTGTGAGAAGAGCTCTTCTGTCTCAATTTGAGGAGGTAAAATTGAAGCAGCAGCTTCAGTTCCAGGAGGAGATTGAGCTGTTGAAGTGTCAGTCAGAGGTGCTGCTGGAACAGCAGATTGCACAGCTGAAGGTAGGCTCTGGTGAAAATGCACTTCTGAGTCTGCACTGGGAGTGTGTTTTGCTGAAAAAGAGCAATTGGTGTAAGATTTTTTTGTTCTTCAGCCTCTAAAATGGCAGCCTGAATGATATCTCCCCCGTGCTTCACAACGTTGCAACTAGAAAAACAGCATTAGAAATAAAGCCGTATTCTGTGAGCAATTGTCTTTACCACAGGTTTATCTTAAAGTCCTGAACTTCCTAAATATGAAGTGTCCTTCAGCCAAAACCAAAAAAATCAGTGGAACATGCTCTAAGCAGCATTCCTTGTGTACATGTTCAGTTTGTCATTTGAGACTTTTTCTTATTGGTAGCAGTAGAGACTGTGCCCTTGGCCCAGCTAACCACATCTACTGCACATACTGTGTGTATGTGGCAAAATATTCAGTATTATCTAAGCATTTACCAAGTGTGTGATGGCAGTGAACTCTTTGTCTATGAGATACTTTGTTGTTACTCTTGTTAATCTCTGCTTTCATTGATTCACCGTGATCAACATCATGATAAGCATTTTCAAGATGTTTCCTGCCTCTGGCCCTCTGTGTAGTCCTGATCTGTTTGACCTCTCTCTGCCTGGTGCAGCTGTCTTTTGAAGCAGAGGGCACAAGTGTATCCTGAAAAGCTGCTGCAGGTATATTTGACACTGCTGTCCTGAACTGAACCCCAGCCTTCAGCCCACAGGAGTTGGGACTGGACTGAGTGTTGTGCAGAAACTCCAGAAATGATCCCTGCTTTTTTCTCTTATGCTGCCTTAATTAGCATTTACAACACCAGAAACTTCACTTTTTGTTGAAACTTTTCCAGGACTAATTCTCCTGCTGGTACAGCTGTCTGTAGATTCAATTAGTTTTTTTGCCTCATGAACCTGATGACTGGTGTTTTGTCCCAGAAGAGACTGGCTGGATCTCTTTGCAGTGTCAGACTGAGTTGTATTGTGGGCTGATACAGATTTTTACAACAAGTTTTTCCCTTCCCACTACCCTGTGCTGGTTATGCAGTTGTCTTCATGCCAGCCTGCTCCCCTAGTTCTTCCCTCTGCCTCCCCTATCAGATTTGAGGCATTCAGAATTGCTCTCTGTGCTCTGACATACTCTCTAAGTGCTTCTAAGAACAAGCAGGCTGCTTCAGAGATTTTGTCCACAAATGCCACGTTCTAGGTCAAGGAAAGTCGTCCTACCCCTTTGTGTCAGCTCATTATTTCCTTCCTGACTGCTGGACCATGGGGCAAAGACTGGCTCAGTCTTCTACAAAGGATCCATGTCACTGCCCTGGTTCTGCTGGCCACACTATTTCTGATTCTGATCACAGTTTCAGCACAATTTTGTTGTTTGGAGGTGACGATGTCTAAGTTACAGCTGATTATTCTGAGAGGCATAATGTGTACTTCTGAAGAATTCAGAAAAAATATAGGGGATGTTTGAGGTATTTTGAGAGGATGGTGATGTTGTTTGGGCATTTTTTTTCTTCTCTCAGTAAATCCAAGTATATGTGGTTTATGCAGGATGAATTTGAAGCTGAAAAGAAGGCATCACTACATGACAAGGAGCAGATGTTGATTCAGGAGAGGGAGAAGGCACAGGCTGCTCAGCAAAAGGAACAAGAAATGTTATCAGCCCTGCTGCAGGAAAGGGCAGCAATCATTAGCCAGGTGTGGATAAAATACTTTAAAGCTAGATTTTAAATGTGTTTTTGGGGTTATATTTTAACATAGGGCTCTTTGTCTCCATATGTTTATGGAGGGACTGCAGGTATAATTTTCCTGGCATATTAGACTAGGGGGAAACAGAGTAACACCAAGAATTTCCTGACTGGGACTGCATTACTCTTTCCAGCTCTTCTTGTAGGACTTGATGAGGGTTGACAATGTTAGCATGGAAGCAGAATGCTTTTTTGTGTTTGCAATTTTCTCTCAAATTGATACTTTGCTTATTTGCAAGGTTACTTATGAGACAGACTTCCTAAGAAATCGCAGTAATTTGTTTGGCAGCAAAATCTGGAGGTGAGGGGTGGGTATATACACACAAATATGTATTTTTATTTATATGTAGTCATATGTTTTAATCTGGTATAGATATCATCTGAACAAATAAATATAAGGAGACAAGTAATTTTTCTAGAAACTTGTTTTCAGGTAGAGTTTATAAAGCCAAGTTCAGGCAAAATTGTTGACTTTGTTGTGTTGTCACTGCATTTCCACAGCTGGAAAAGGAAGTAGCATCTTTAAAGCATGAAATAGGGGAGACCAACTCTGAACTGAAGACACTCCTTCAGTGGCAGGACAAGGAAAACCAAGGAGGAGGAAATTTGGTAGCTCTGTTGAGGTCTGATATTGAGCAGTCCAAGGAGGAAAGGTTTGTTCATTTTTGGTTAGATAATGCTTACGGGTTTTTTTTTTGTTTGCCTGTTTTATCACTTTTCATAAAGAAATCAATAACTAGGCAAAACTAAGCCAGCTCATAATAGCAATGTTGGAGGATGATATATTGCTTTTATTTGCAAATTATTTTGAGATTTTTAAAATTATCAACTTGTTCCGACATAAAGAGCAAGTTGGGCTTCTTTCTTGCTCTTTTTCTTTCAGTGTGATGAAGACTTTGGTGTTTTGGGGTTTCTGCTGTCTCTAATCTTGGAAAAATCTAAAAACATGAGTGAGGTTCTGTGACCAAGAGGCTTTCAGATGGAGTGGATTGGTTCGACATGTCCTGGGAATGTCATGCTGAATAAGCTTCTAGAATTCCCTCTATCATGTTTCAGAAACTGACTTAGTGTTAATCTTAATACTAAAATAATTTCATAAATAGAAATAAAGCTTCTGTTGTCAGGTCTTTTGATGTCACTGATACCATGGTAGCAGATGTATCTTCCTTGCTGTGCTTCCATGGGTATTGAAGGCTGAGGTGCTTGACTGTGCTGTGATCTACCTGTGGATGTGACAAAGGTGTTTTGCTGAGCCAGCTCTTTAAAAATGACCTGATTTTTGTGAGTCATCTGAGTCATCTTCACTGATAACTGCTCAACCACGACTGATACCCATTTTAGACTGTCAGGTTTGCAGTAGGTTCAAATCAAGTGCATGCCATTTTTGAAATGTCCAATATGCTTTTGTTCTAGGGAAAAACTTCGTGAATCTTATCATCATGTTTTGAAACTGCTTATGGAAGTGGTGAAGACAACAATAGTTATTGAGGACCTTATCTGTAGCAAGATTGGTCTTTGCCTTGATGACAGTGTGGCTTCTGGAGATTCTAAAGAAACTCGGAGTATTATGGAAGAAATGGGATTCATGCAGTGTTTTAAAGCCAAAGAAAACCATCACCTAGAAAAAGGTGAGTACAAACCAGCAAACCTGGATGTAGTCAGTTCATATTTTTGAAAACAGCCTTTTCATATCCTTTTGTATGCATGAAGATCTGGAAGAAAGTATATCTTTTTGCAATGTTTGTGTCTTTCAAAGTTGGTCCACACGTAAGATAGTGTCTACCAGTGTTCTCTCAGTTTAATTCTTTTAATAGTGCAACTACTAAAATGTTGTTAGAAAAGCTTGGGTAGATAATAGGGCAGGAAAGATGGACTTGGTGAATGCACAGTTCCAGGTCCTGATGTATAGCACAAGATTCTCAAACCTTGTGAAAAATCCTCATGATTTTTCAACACTGAGTTGTTGATGTGTGAAGTTTTTTGTCTTGTAGTGCATGTCCAGGACCATGTCACTGCCTAATGTCATTTATCTGGGTGACCAGTTTTGTGGCTAGCTGTCACTTTGCTGTGTTTTTCAATAGCTTCCTTTTATTCAGTAGAAGAGCTGCTTGATGAAACTCTCACAGAATACAACCAGCTGTCTCCAGGAGATGATGAGGTGTCTGAGTTGAGCCAGTACTTCTGTGAAAGTGTTCTTGCAAAGCCAGAATTGGCATGTGAAAGTGAAGAAACCATACTGAAAATTTGTCATCGCTTGCGCACTGCAGTGGAGAGACTTCTGGAACTGGTTACAGAGTCAACTAAACAAGTAAAGCTTTTCAATCTGTACAGAGTCAGCCTGGTCTGGTGGGAGATGTCCCTGCTCATGGCAGGGGTTTGGAACTAGCTGGTCCTTAAAGGTCCCTTTCAATCCAAACCATTCCATGATTTTTTTGTGTAACACTGAAAATGTGAAATCAGTTTTAAGCCTGTGCGTTTTAACCTTTTAACAGATCCTGTGAGAAGGCAATTAATTGGTCACCTTAAGTAGATTTAAATTAAGATTTTAAATTAATTTGGTAACTTCAGGAGACCAGGAGTTTTATCACACTTCACATTGATGCTTTTTCAACACCGATAAGCAGGTTTAGGAAAACTCAGTCCAATGTCAAAATGCTTGGGGAATATGAAGATAGCAGCAAACAGACGTCCTTGTAATTATATGCTGCTTTAATTGTGACAAAAGGAAGTGCACTTCGTATCGTAAAAGAGCTTGAGTATTTCCATACTGAGTTTTGCAGTGTCTAGGCTGTACATCTGGGGTAGATGCACAAGCACTGTACACATCTGAGGATTTAATTGAGTGTGACAATAATTAGTTTGTTGGGTAAGGAAGTCCCTAATTGAAGAGATGTGAAGGGGAAAAACACCTCTAAAATTCATCTACTCATTGGGTATTTTGTGAAACCCAGGGATATGTCTGTGTGAAATGTATATTCTGTATATTCACCATCTTCAAAAATCCCTCCTAGAATGAGGCACATCAATTTACTTTTAGCTACTGATGATGGTTCCACTGAGACATAGTTAACTTGTGGTTAAAGCACTTGGGGGATCTGGTTTCTTGGTGACCCTCATCAGCTGTGATCCAGCACACTTTGCTTACTGGTGACGTGCCTTGGAATCCTGGTGATACATTGGCTTCACTGTCTATTAGGTGTGACTGAATCTCTTGAATTTAAGTGTTGCTTTGAGTTTCAAGTGGCTTAGGATGTGTCAAGCTAAGCAGTTTAACCAATAGGGGGGTATTTCTTTTTATGCACAGTGAAGAAACTTATGTTCCTAAGCAAGACTTGTGGCAAAAATACTGGTATGAGAGTACAGGGATTCACCTAAGTGTCCAGAGATTTTGGGCAAAGTCAGCTTAAAAGCTTCAAAACTTAGACCTTAATGCATAAATGTTATTAAAAATGTGAGAAGATTTTTGTTGCAATGACTGCAGTGTCATTAGCTATCATGTACATCAGAGGTCTGATGCTGGGGAAATGCCTCACTTGTAGCTGGAGAAGATGCACGAGAACCACGCGCAGTTTGAGGAGGAGTTCAGCCGGCGTAATCGGGAGACTGCCCAGGTGGTGAGCCAGCACCAGGAGCTGATGGAGTGCCTCAGTGAGGAGAGTGAGGCCAAGAACCAGCTGGCCCTAGAGCTTCACAAGGCAGAGGGTAAGCAAAGGAAGCTGAGTGAGATTGCAGTGTCGTTTACTCAGAGCTCGTTCCTCCCAATATCTGTGATGTGCATTTCTTGGGCTCTAAATCTAACATTTGATTTTACTTTCTGGATATTGTTTCTTCAGACATCAGTCCTTAGCAGAGGATGCTGTAAGCTCATCCCAGGCCATCAAAGCATAATGAACCCTATTCGAATTCTACAGATTTGGAGACACTCTGTGATGTGTCAGCCTCATAAAACCTTGATAATCTTAGAATATGTTAAATAGTACATTTTATTCCTTAAGATAGTTCAAAAGCCTAGCTACAGTATAAACATAAGTCATCTTTTACTTCCTCCTTTTTGTGTCACCTTCTATTGTTTGGCAGAAATTGTTTACTCATGTTTTCAAGCTGCTTTCTTCGAATAGATGAGTTTGTCTATGGCTCTATTTGCATTCTGATTTGCCTTCCAGGCATTATTGAAGGCTATGTTGCAGAAAAAGCTGCATTAGAAGAGGCCTTAAACCTGAAAGAGGAATCTGAGCGTCGCCTTGTTGTGGAGCTGGAGAACCTGCGGGAGCGTTTCCAGGAGCTCACCCAGGAGCAAGCAATCCTTGGTGAGTACAGGACACAGCATCGTGAGCACAAAACAAAGCTGCCTGCACTCAGGGCACATTGCCACGCCCGTCTGTCGTGGGTCACAGCTTGGCTTGATGAGCTGATGAGCAGCTCAGACTAATACAGAGCTAAGAGGGTCTTCCTGTAAAGGCAGAAAGCTCTGCAGACGTGGATCAAGGCCATCAGGAGGTTTGTGCACCATAAAGATGAAATGCCTAAAGGTGGGCACTGTCTGTACTCCATACGCATTTTTGGTGCTTTAGAAGGTGAAATGGATCACACTGCCCTATTTGTCTTGTACATGTGTCTGTGTTTTGATTTCTAGGAGCACCTGTTGCTAATGTAGCACAAAAAGAAGGTTCAGGTTTGTAATGAAAAGTGTGGGTTTTTTCTTGCCGTGTTGTTGTAACACTGAGTGAATTTTAGTTATTTTAACAATGAGGAATAGTACTTAATTATGAAGTCCAACAGGTTACTGGTTTTATAAGTATCTTGGCCAAAAAAAGCTATGACTTCTGTGATGCAAAATTAGGTATATTCAATTCAATAATGCATATTTGAGGTGAAAAAGATGTTTTGCTGCCATCAGGCTTAAAGTGCATTGTGCCATTGTCTTTGTATTTTCCAGCTTCATTTTTTTTTTTTTTTTGAGGGGATGGAGTAGGTTGCAAGCTGGTTGTGACGTTCTAGTGATACAAAATGGGCTGTCAAAATGAGTTAACTAAGTTAAGGGAGGGAGGGAAAAAGTAAAATATTTGAGGTGACATAAAACTGAGCTAAAAAAGTACAGCAAGAATTGAAGGAGGAAGATGAGAGAGATGTGGCTGAATGGATTGGTAGGTTAGAAAAAAGGAAAGCAGAATGGTAGGGAAGTCTGGTTTCCTCTTTTGTTTCTTTAACAGAAATAAGCAGGAAGGATCCATAGTTATACACTAATTTTGGAAGTCAAGTCCTGTAGTCAAATTTGTAGATGCCAAACTGAAAGAGAAATTTTTTTTCCTATGAACTAAAGTTTGCATACTTAACCTCTGAGTGGCTAAAATTTAGATCTGGTAAATTCATAGTTGCCATTATTGTTTTGTGGTCTACTCAAAATAGAATTCTCCTATTTTTTAGATTAATTTTACTTATACACACATATATAGTCATAGATTCTTGCATATTCACTGTCTCTTGTTTCTGAACTTTTTCTTTTCCCCAGAGAGTGTGAGCTAAGTAAACCAAATCACTCAGGTGAATAAAAAGTTACATAGGTAAATTCCTGTTAGAGTCAAAAAGCTGCACTGAGCTTTCTTACCCATTACTGTATCTTTATTCCTTCTGTCCATTCAGATCTCCCTCAAACACTATTTTTAATTTAACCTATTTTTGGTATCCACCTCACTGTCCTGAAATTTGCTGCTGCCCTCTGAAGGAGAGGGAATGTAAAACCGAGTTGGTTGTGGTGTATTTTGGGATTGACATTCTCCCAGGAGCTGCAGCCCAGCTCGTGCCAGCAGCTCCTTAGAACTTGAACAGTTACTTTTGCTGCAAGGGCCAAGTCCTGAAATCCATCCCCTTTCCTCCATCCCAGCCATTTGTAGTACTCTTCCTCAGGTTTGGAATTGTTTGTAGTATGTGGAAAACAAGATAAATATAAATCCTATTGTTTGGAGTTGATTGACAAGGGCTTATTCCTTGAAAAGCTGACATCTCCTGCTTTTCATGTGGTGGAGTACTAATGTGAGTAGAATGGCCTTGCTAATTAAAACTCTTTTGGAATGGGGCTTGGCATTTGCTAATGATCTTGGGAGTGGGAAGGAGTGTGCCGGGGCCTTTCCGAAGGGGAATTGCATGATGTGAAGTAGCACTAATAAAATAGGTTTGTGTCTACCAAGAAACAAATCTGTGAGTTAATGATCTGTTGGTGTGTTGCTTGAAATTCTGTTTATACACTTGGGGAACTTCTGCTTAAAAAAAATTAAAAACTTGTCAGGAAGATTGTGCTTAGAGGTTGCCAAAATTTGATACCTGCTTTCTATGAAGTACTGCTGATTCCAGGTAAAATCTGTTTAACTATTTTTTTGCAATTCATTTGCATTTCTGTCTGAGGAGGTGACTGTGACTGTGTTGGTCAGTGTCACCTAATCAGTATTTTGTTCCTCATAAAGCACTAGTGTTCCTCTGGAAGCTAAAACAGAAGCCATCAACCATGTTTCTTAGGATATAGGAAGAAAAATTCTTGTGCTTGTTTTCCCAAATACCAGTTCTTTTCTCTCAGGGTCAGCCTAAATCCATTACCTTCCTTTGGGTGCCCAAATATCTCTAGCACCTGACCTTGCCCTCCTCTCTGCACCTTGTATTAGTAAATAGACTGGAGTGCTATTTTATTCACATTATTCACATCTCCTGCTTGGCAAAATGCAGTTCTTGGCAAAAGATATTCTCAGTCATGCAGCTATGGCCAGGATTGAGTGTCCTATTGGAATTTATACTATTGTTGGATTTTGTGTTTTTTTTCTGTTGCATCACATGATGTATAATAGATGATGTGTACAATGCAGCTCCAAGGGGGCTGGGAAAGAAATGAGGGGACAATCTTCACTTGATGCATTCTGCCAGAGCCTGAGTTACATCCACAGCCAAATGAACTTGTGATTATTTATTGTGATTATCTAAAAATAAAATAAAATGTAGGGAGTGTGGCACAGTGATTGCACTGTGGTTATTATGTAGGCTATAATTAGTGCTTGGAGTGAAATGTAGTTGGAGTGTAGCTGTAATCCACAGCAGGATTGCTGTGGGGCTCAAGAGCTCATGTAGTCCATGTTTTTGTCCCAAACTTTCCTTGTTTCTCTTTGTCTGGCTTCTTCTTTTGATGTCCAAAGCCAGAGAATTCGGACTCTTAACGTTGTTTTCCATTATCCTCACTGTGGTGACCTATTCCCCAATGTGTAGTGTAAATATTGTTGCATTATTCCAAGCCTGTCACACTTATCTTTTTATACATGAACATGGAAATTTTCATTATTTTTGCTTAATATAAAGGATTTAGAAATGTCATTAAATATCTGGGGATAATGAAGCCCTCGAAAAAATGTGGTAAGTAGGCTGTGTGTCCCTTTTGGACAGCATCAAAACAAAGAAAAATATTTATTCCTGCCCACACTGCCAGACGCCAGTACACTTGGTCACTGCCAGATCCAGCCTGTAGCAGTCGTTCAGGGATCTCTTTAAACCTGAGCATAAATTCACATTCCTGGAGAAGCTGCTCAAATTCACCATGCTGGGCTAAATCCACATCTATTTTATGAGCAAGCATAAAATCCTCCTTTCTTCTCATTGCACAATCTTGGAGGAGAAGGAAGAGGCAAGGGCACACCTTTCCCCAGCCAATCAGCTAATTAATTATTGCATGTCTGGGTGCAATGCTTTCAGCAAAGCCTTTTCTGTGTGCTAGTTAGTATCATTATCTGGTGCCCCAAGGAATGAGCTTTGATTACCCTTCTCTTACTGATGATCCAGGAACAGCTAAGCAAATGCTTTCACAGGTCATAAAATTCTCTCTGCTCTTCTTGAAGCCCATCTACAGCCCTTAGCTCTCCTGTGTGACCTGAGGCATCCATGCAGTGACTGGAAATGATCATTTTTACCAGTTAGCACTGCCACCAGATGACCTGGCATGCAGGCATAGAAAAAAATGTCACTGCTCTTAACAAATCTTTGCAACCAGAGCAAAATTGTAGCAGCTTGTAATGGCATTAGGTCAGAAATCACATCCATTGAAGTGGTCATACTTCAGAAAAGCAATTGTTGACTGTTATACCTTCACTGAGAGCTTTTATTAATAATTTTTGTGTTTTTTACTCAGGTCTACTCAAGGAAGTAGAATTTTTGTCCAAGGAGAAACTGGAGCTTCAGTGTCAGGCAGAAAAGGACCATTCCAATTTACGCTCTCAGATGAAGGTTTTGGAGGTGGAACTGGAAGAGCAGCTGCGCAGTAACCAGGACCTGACTACAAAGTTACTGGAGGTTGCTGAGTTAAAACAGCAAATTGAAGTTCTTGAAAAACAGCTTAAAAACCAGCGGCAGTTCATGGATGTAAGTGAGAGACCACATTTCCATGGGTTTGGAGGGGATCAGTTCTCATCCTGGTTTGAGTGGTTCCCAAAATGGGCTATTTTCAGTTTTGGTTGAAATTAAGACCTTGGTGTTCTAGTCTCATGAAAGAAAAATAAGTTAAAATTTAAATTCAGTTTTTGTAGTATTGCAGGGTAATTTTTCCTTTCTATTGAATGATAGATGTATGTTGCAGTCCAAAAGGTGCTTTCTCTTTTTTTTTATTTCCCTGTAACTGTAGATACGCTTTCAGGACTACTAGAAGGTAGTCCTGATTAATTATTAGTAATTAGTTAATTATTTTTTAAATTACCAGTTTCTTCACCACAAAAACAAAACCCGATTATTCTCGTGCTCAAGACTGTAATGAAATCTTCCAAAATATTTCGATTCTCTCTGTCTGGGTTTACAGGAACAAGCCATAGAAAGGGAACATGAACGTGATGATTTCCAGCAGGAAATTCAGAAATTGGAAGAACAGTTAAAACTGTCAGCAAAATCACAAACTTCAGGACAGTCCAGAGAGCAAAGGGTGAGTAAAATCAGACTTGGTGGCCAGTGGAGTTTTGTTTACTACAATTAAATACCAAAACTATATGTTCTTGGGGCTCTGGCTCTTGGGAGACTTTCTTTCCTGTTACCCAGAGAACAGATTTTCCCCCAGCTTATTGAACTACATTTAGGCAATGAGGGTGCACTTATATTATTTGTTATGGAGATAAAAAGAAATGTGGCATGTGCTTTAGAGTAAAGTTTGAGTCTGGTTTAAAGGAACCGAGGAGGACAACACTACAGACACTCAGCTCTAAAACACGCATCTGAGAAATGACTTTTGGGTTCTAAATGATTTTATTTTTTCCACCTAAACAGTTGTAACAGACATGTCCTTTGCCTCATCCTATTTAAGTTTATAAATGAGTCTTTGTTGACACATTTTTTATTTGTTTGATGCTTGGCTTCAAAGATTAACGTTTGCTTTTTTTCCCTTTTGATTGGTTGTTTTTTGTTTGTTTTTTTTTTTTTACATAAATGAACACTATACAGAACTATGAATTGATTCTACAGGTATGGTAAACAGCATGAATGTCTCTTAACTTTTCTTTCTTTTTCCTTTCAATCCCTTCTAGATATGCTTTAGCTTTTTTCCTCTTCTTGAAATGTCAAGGCATGACTTGGAGCTAAGGATGCAGGTTTTAGGGTGGCAGAGTTCTTGCAGGGAATGAAGAACTGCTTTCAATTTAATTTCCTGTACACAAGTACTTAGCTGTCCTGGCTTATTGCTCAGAGGTGTTACAGGCAGTTATTCACTGGAACAGCCTTTTGCTATGGAAGGAGAAGTTGAGGTTTGGAGCATGAAACAAAGATACTGGAATGGTGGTGATAAAACTGTGCCTTTAGCCTTCAGCTTTTGTTTGTGGCCTGGCTCTTATCAAAACTTAAAAGTAGTTAATTTCATTTCATTTAATTTCATGTCTATTTTTGTAGAGTTAGGGAACTGTGTACCCCATATCTTCAATATGAAGGAATTTTCAGTGAATGAATTTTCCATGCTGGAGGGCATAGCTGAAAAAAATTAATGCTGTAGCTTTGCCACCTCTCTCAGAAAGGATGAAAACTTACTTGGAGTAAAACACACCAGGATGGTAGCTTGTGACATTTGTGGGTTGGGTGAGGTATGCAGCCATTCTGTGTGCTAGGAAATGTCAGTATTTGCTCAGTTGTTTTATGCAGCTGTAACATCACTCCAAACCAAATCAGCTCAAGTGAACTCCTGATTTCTGCATGTAGCACTTACACCAAGTTTCCCCCTCTGGTGTTTGCTAGGTACAAGGTATGTGTAAGTGGGATTATTTTGTGCAAAGAGTGCTGACTGGTTCTTGGGAGCTGCAGTGTGCACTGTGAGAGTGAAGGTTATGTGGAAGAGTTTTCTTAGCTACAGGATTGCAGCACCAGCTTTCCAGCAATGTGGTGTTAAAAACACGCTTTTTATGTCTGAAATGTCATGATTTGGGGATTCTGATGCCAAATTTTTGTAGGATTAGAAAGACTAGACTTATAGAAGATTTTTCTATACTTTTTTCCTAAAAGCTTTACTGTAAGGCCTGTGTTATAGTTACAGTGGTTAGTTGCTGGTGACATGAGAAGGGAGTAAGGTCCATACACAGTCAAGGAAATGTTTGTGCCTCTAAGCAGTTTCAAAATTGTAATGTTCATAACTTTTGGTTTTCTTAGCCAGTCTTCTACACTCTCCCTGCTTATCAATTTGACTCCTCTGTTTGCTCTAGAGTGTTTCCTGCTTTAGTAATATTTGCACAATACTTTGAAAATGTAAAGATCTATGTTAATGCAAAGAATTTTTATTTCATAACATTGAAGTGGGATTTACATCAATTCAGACACTTGTTGATGAACAAAACATTTCTTGTAAAATCCCATCTTCCTTGCTCATGAGTATTGACCAAATACTTCTCTATTTCCACTGCTTTCCTGCCTGAGCTTCCTTTCACTATGCTAAATGATTTTATCACACCCTGAGATAGTCTGTCACACCAGAGCTCCTAGCCTTGCCTTCACCTTGATTACTGGGATGAATGAATGACTGTTTTCCTGCAGCTAAAATTAAAAATTTTTATCCTCTTCATTTTAAATAATTTTTGGAAAGCAAAGTACCTGTCCTATGTTGACTCATGGGAATCTCTGTTTGCATATTTATCCTTCAGTTCTTGGTATCTTCCTTTAAACTGGAATTCCTTGGAATATTGGAAGAGGGTTCTGAGGCTACAGAAGTAAATCCAATGCTATTATTTATAACTCATGTAATCTTGGTGGGTTTTTAATCTCATACCCAATAAACCCCATCACCAAAAGGCTCCTTGGAGAGTTTACACTCATCTAGTACTTTGAGAGTACTGCTGATGTTGAGAGAGTAGTCAAACATGTATCTGAGAGCTGCTGCATTTGGAAAACAAGATTTCAGAAAGCTAACTTTTTCATACTTTCTATGCATATTTAGTTTTATTTCCACCTGTGATTTTAGCACCACTTTAATCCGTAGTAAAACCTGCTTTAATGTGAAATGACTCTTGCTTTCCACTGGCAGAAACTGTGTTCATATTGCCTGAATATCTGTATACTGGATTTCTGTGCAGGTAGAATCTCTGCAAGCAGAAATGAAAGAGAAGATGGATGATTACAATAAACTGTTACTAGAAAAGGAGAGAAAACAGCAGGAAATTGCAGCTCGTGATAAAGAGATAGAAAACCTGGTGGCACAGATCCAAGAGCTGAAGCTCAGTGGTGCTGAGGTCTCAAAGACTGTACACAGCTTGGAACAACAGCTGCAGAAAATGAAGAAAGTGGAAACTGAGCTGAAACAGGTAATTTTAAAATTCCTATTTAAATGGGATTGGCATTAAGTGACAGCTTATGTGACATTTATGGGGATTGTCAGTAGCATTTGTGACACTGTCTGGCACCCAGTGGTGAGTTCAACTGGTGTATTAATGGCACATATCACAGCCACAGTTCTAAATCATCTCTGGTTCTACAAATTCCAAGTCCATTATAAAGATTTATGTAGTAGGTACTTAGATATTACCTCTAAGACTTAAGTAAGACTTACTCAGTCCTACTATGGAGGCTGGTTTTGACAGTGGTCAGGTTTGCTGCTTCAGAGCTCCTCTTGTGCTTGTCTGCAAAGCACAAGAAGGTGCTGAGAAGGCACTGAGAAAGTCATGTTACTGAATATCAAACATTGAGGGTCTTCAATAAGTATCTGTGTTTAAAATCAAATTATGTTCATCTGTAGCCCTTCTTGCTCTGTGTCTGAAGCCAGATCTGTTTGCCATAGTCCAAAACTTCGAGCTTTGTTACTACCACAGAGTTAGTCACAGCCTGGAGTTAAGAATTACAATCCACTTAGCAAAAGTTACCAAACATCTGAGTAACTTCCTTCCATCTGAAACTAAATGTTCAATGTCCTCCCAATCATTTTCTTTGGTTGAATATTGTTGAAAGCTTTGTGGAGATCTCATTGTGTACAGTCACATAGGAGGTTATGAGAAGATGGAGTCAGACTAGAAGGTGCAAATGAAAGGATGAAAAGATGTGTGTAAACAAAGGATGTGTGTTCAACAAGTGTTGAACAGCAGAGGCAATTACTGCCTTAGGTTTCTTGCCAAGCTTTCCTTTACTATATTAAGTACAGATATGTATGCTTATTGTTTGGACAATTCCCAAATGAACCTTTCCTCCTTGGATTGACTCAGCTCCTGAGAAGGACTGTGAGAAAAGGAGGATCAAAACCCAGTATTTTTAAATAAAATAAGCTATGGTAGCTTGGCAAATCACAGGTTGGACAAACTTAGTGCTGTTTTATCACATTCTGACTGAACTTGATGTTTTTGTGAGTAGATTTTGATCTACCCAGAACTCTTAATTTCTTCATTTATGTCCATCTATCAAATTTAGTTTGGAATGTATATGGTATCATAATAAATTTGGAAATGGCTACAAGAACGAGCTGTGATGTTCTTAAACATATAAAATGCTGTGTAACTGAGAAAGTAGAGTTTATCACTGAATGCTAAATTTTCAGAAGTTGTTAAACTTGGATTACAAAAAATAAAGGGGTAAGAACTTAAATGAGCTAAAAACTATTCAGTTGATTTGAATTCTTATTTCTTTATAGGCCACTGGGATTATCTTGTATTGAATGTGTCAGGGTCGATGAAGTGTTTCAGCAGGATTGTTCTGGTTAAGTAGGTTTGTACATTGACAGGAATAAATTCTAACATTAAAAAATCCTTTTTCAGGATAAAGAGGCATTGCAGCAGCAGCAGTACAACAACCTGATCCAGATCTCTGCCCTGCAGTCTAAAGTGGATGAAGCGAGGCACCGAGTGCCAGTGGATGGCAGCTCTGCCCCGGTGCTGAAGGAGCAGCTGCAGGCAGAGCAGGAAGCACTTCAGGCCAAGGAGAGAGAGGTGAGAGCTTTGGGAGAGTTCTGCACACTCTGAGTGGCTTTGGCCTCAGCTCACCTTCCTTTTTCTGCTTTCTTCTGTGTCCATCTCCCTTCCTGCTGGAAAGCATCTTGTGATGATTCACGTGACTTTGAGACTGATCACCATTCGTTGTAAACTGATTTTTCTTTCCTTCCAAAGTTGAAGTAGGTAGATGATTTTTTGTTTGAGAGTGAGAGAGAATTCTTTTAAGACCAGAAAGGTCAATTACCCATAATGGTGTCATTTAACCTGTTTTGAGAGGATGTTTGGGGTGAGTTTTTGTGTCAAGCTAAGAAGAAACAGAAAAATTGCTTACAATATCTGCAACTCTTACTGGATTTATATATAAATGCATGCACAATATATATGTATGCATATATAAATGTATACACAACATATAGTATAAACTATATGTTTTTACTATTATCTATTATATAGAAACATAGTCCAATTAAGGATGTGTAAAGAAGATAACAAAAATTAATTTAAGGATGGAATTTCTTTTTCTCTTATGAAGTCTCATTTCAACAATCATAATTCCCAAAGCCATTATACCTTGCTATCCACTAAGGCAAGAGATGGTAAAAAACAGTGGATGGCAACATCACACTGCAGAGAAAAGTGTAATTATTGAATCATCTCTTTGTTGTATGTGTTACTGGGATTGGCACTGCAAAGCTCATTTCTGGCTTCTGGGAGGACAAGGATGATGTCTATATTGACTGCTTGTCATTGTTGCACATCAAATTCTAATGTCTCATATTGTTACATCAAATTACATCAGTCAATCCTTGATCACTCTCAATACAGATTAATGGATCTTTTGTGAGCAGGTAGATTTTTCTTAAAAAAGAAAACAGAAACGCACCCTTGCAGTACTTTGGTTTTGCAGATGAGGAGCTGGAACACAAGCTTCTCACTGTCTTTTTATGTCACAGGTATTTTATTAATGCAGATGGATTAGCATTTAAATCCTTGAATTTGCTGAAGTTACTTGTCGTTAAATAATAGGATGAATGAAGTTTTATCTTAGACAATTTAAACAACTATGCCTTTTTTTTTCAGATTGCAAGCTTGCTAGAACAAGTAGAACAATGTAAAGAGAACTTGAACAAGAAAGATGAGGAGATATTGCAGCTGAACTTGCAGTTAGAGATACAAAAAAACTTGAGTACATCCAACATCATCCAGCTTCAGGCAGAGAATGCACACTTGCAGGTAGGTTCCTCTAGCTTTATTTAACTGCCTAAAATGTCAGAGACCTGCTTTCTTGCATGTTCAGGTCTTTGTCTCATGATGTTGTAAACAGATATTTGGGTTATTTCTCTTGCCATCAGAATGTTGCATTATCTTTACAAGACTAATGCTGGGTATCATAGACCCAAAGCCTCCCAGTGTTCTAGGTTCATGCCTGTAGCATTATCTTCTACAGTGATTTGATTTAAATCAGAAACTGAGGCTATTTTCTGGGTTAGGCAGTCTGATGCAGTGGTGCAAACCCAAAGAAGCTGTAGCTGTGTTCCCGAGCTCTTTACCATTATAGTAAAAAGGAGAATGTTTAAATAAAGCCCCTAGTTCTGCTCTGCCCTCAGGTTGAGAGAGAAAGTTAGTCCTTTCTAATGAGATTTTTGGTTTTTTATTTTCAGGAGGATCTAACAAAACTTCATGTAAAGCAAAGCCAGGACCTGGGTATTAGTGATTCCTCAGCTTTGTCATTCCCACAAGCACTGCTTGAAGAAAAGAATCAAGAAATCGATCACTTGAATGAGCAGATAAAGAGACTTGAGCATGAGCTGCAGAATGCTCTGGAGAATCAAGTAAGTTTACTATATATAAGAGTATTTACTATATATACTATATATGTTCATTGCTTGTTTTTTGCAGGAAGCAAGGTGGGCAGATTCTTATTGTGGATGCAATCTGTTTGATAATTCTCTGTGGAACGTAGAGATTATTTTGAGAAGTTACCAGCTGAAATGTGTGGTTCTTCCTGCTGTTAAATGTGTGATTTAATGCCTGTGTGATTCAGAAGAGAAATATAAACTCCATGTTCAATAATAATTGCCTACATACAGTAATACTCAGTCCTTATCCTTTTGCTCAGGTTGCAGAAGACCAAAAACCTGAAATTGAAGAACTCAGATCACTGGTGGAGCACCTGCGCCTGGACCAGGAGAGGCTGCGTAAGGACAAGGATGAAGAGGTGGAGCAGCTCCATGGAGTAATTGAGAAGCTTCAAAAAGAGCTGGCACAATTTGGACCAGTATGTCATGAAGATAGTGACAACCAAGTTTATTTCTATGAAGTTGCATTGGACAAGTCAGTGGAAAACCTTCAGAACGAGTTGAAGAAGGGACTGGTAGCTTGCCAAGGTGATGCTGATCCAAACAGAAGAAACACATCAGTACTCTCCCAAGTGAGAGAACTTCAGGAGGAACTGGAGCTTGTCTCAGCTTCTAAAGAAGCTCTGCAGCAGCAACTGGAAAAAACGGAATTGCAGCTCAAAACGGAAGTGGAAATTTTGGAGAAAAAATGCCAACAGTTGCAAGAGTCATCAGAGCAGTCTCTTGCAGAGCTCACCTCCCTGAGAGCCCAGCACCAGACACTTCAGGAAGAATACAGCCTTTCCCAAACTCGTTTGTCTCAGAGAGAGGCTGAGACAAACATAACTACATCTCGAGTTCAAGAACTTGAAGATAAGGTGAGAGAAAGGGAAGCGAATATTCTAGAGAAAGAGATGCAAATTAAGACAATGGCAGATCAAAGAGAAGCTGACACAACTGAGCTGCAGTACTTAACAGAAAAGACAGCAGAGCTCCAAACGGAGCTGGAAAAGAGAGGTGCGAGTCAGGCACAGGACATTTACAGTCTTCAATTAGAAGTTTCTAGACTTGATTCCGAGGTGCAAGCACTGAATCAGAAAGAAGTAGCTTATCTGAGAGAAATCAAGGAACTGCAAGGGAGCACTGCAAAACTGAAAGGTGAAATCCAAGTCCATCTGAAAGAGCTCGAAGCCTTACGAATGGAAAGAGCCGAAATTCTTTCACAGCTGGAGTCTTGCAAGCTGGTGGAGCAAGTAGGTCATGAAGAGACTCAATTTCTCAAGCCATTCTGCCAGAGTAAAAGAAAAGATGTAGCCCTTAAAAATGGAATGCAGGAATTAGAAGCAAATACTGATCAGTCATTTAGAGTATTGGTTTCCCCTACTGCTAAACTGGTACGTGATTTGATTTTTAGTAGTTTTGTTTGTTGTGGAGATTTTTTAGAATGATCTATTTCCAGATTAATAGATTAAATACATTTTTCTCATTTTACTCTGTTTTGCCTGTGAGAGTAGTTTATAGTTGAAATCCCTTATTTCTTTCCACCTGTGAGCTTTTCCCAGCTTATTTTTTTTTCAACCTGATCTATTGAGGATGGACAGTGAAAGGGTGGGCATGTGTAAGCCAAGCAATGAGCCCACCATGAGCTATGAGACTGTTTGCCATTCTTCACGGCTGTATTGGAGAGCTACTTGAAAACACCTCATCATGTCTCCTTTTCTTTTCAGAAATTCTTATTTACTGTGACTCTTTCTTGTAATTATTCTCAATCTTTGCTAGAGCCATTTGCTGCAAGCAACCTAATCTTCTTAAATTCTTATTAAATCACTCGTTTTTGGAAAGCAGTAGGACCCGGGTGACCCTTTTTTCAGAGAGTTGTAGAAATCTGTCATACACCAAGTTACTGACTTTAAGGGTTGGCTTACAGAGGTGATAAGTGCTAGTTAAGAGGGCTTATATGAAGAATTCCAGTATACAGAAAAAGAAAAATATTCAGTGTCAGGCTTATGTGGATTTTCAAGGCCCTGCTTGGCAGTATGTTATAATAATCATCCGAGGTAGATGACTTATTTAAAGAAATGACAGGATAATTGCTGTGTATGACATGTTAATTTTGTAAAGCAGAAATTAAGAGTGTAGCTATGCAAAACATGTGATCATTCCTGGTGTTTATATTTGCCTGGAATTTCAAATTTGGAGCAGTGACATCAATGCCTGGGTGACAGTGTACATGCAGAGTCTGCCCCAGAAATCTCAGAGGGAAAGGAAATAGGTGGGAAAAGTGTTAAATGACCCATGGAATGTCTGTATAAAGCAGCAGAATTCCAGTCCAGTGGCTACTGGACCATGTTTATACATGTAGGGAATGTCAGATCCCTGTTTAAAAAACAGAAGTAGTTTAGGATCCAGTGAAGAGAGAATTGGTGACATTTTGAAGGATATCAGGGAATGCTGGCATGCTGGGGGAAGTTAAATGATTTAAAAATCACTTTTCAATTAGAAACTTAGACTCTGAAAGGTTTAAATTGATGTTTATATGTCAGTATATGTATTTCCATGTTTAAGTGCTAGAAGTTTTTAAGTAGGCCGAGGAGGGATAATTATCAAAAGTGGAGAATATGATGAACCAAAGTAAATAAACTACCATGTCTTCAGGCCTTCATTACAGTAGACTTTTTTCTATGGATCTACCTCATCCTAGCATTAGAAAAAGTATAATAAAGCATTTTTAAAGGAACAAAGAACCCCTCCTACAGTTATGCTTGGGTTCCAAAGTGGAAATAATGTGAAAATTAGGAAATGTATTCAAATGAAAGCTGGAGGAGCAGCAAAATGAGTAAAGTCCTGGCAGCTAGCACTAGGCTTAAAACAGATGATTAAGAGGGATGATTAACACAAAAGGATTAAGATGATGGTCTGAAATGAGAGGGATACCTGTTAGTTTGTCAGATGCAATGAATAGTGGTTATGGAGAATGAAACAAAATTACCATGTTGATAGGTTTAAAATAAACTAAAATATCTTCTCAAATAGTGTGTTATTTAGACTCAGTCACAGAATAAGAGGTTAAAAGAGAAATTTTATCTTAATTGCTTAGATAAAGCAATTGAAGGAAAAAGCAATCAATTCAAAAAGCTCTCTAAGTGCATGTTTCTCAGTTTGTAACATCGTGCTCAAACTCCATTAAACAATTAATATGTGTTATTTCATTATAGGAAAAAGATGAAGTTATGTTTGACTTGACAGTTCACAATAAAAATCCCAAAACACAGATGAAGCAATCGCAAGAAAATATCTTGTGCCAGGAGTTGGACATGATCCACAACTCTGAAGAGGATCAAGATTTGGAAAAGCATTGCCAGCAAATTCATCAAACCCCTGATGCACCAAAACATGATTTGAGCGTGGACAAAAAGACTCCAAAAGATTTCCAGAATTTAATTGCAAGTATGTCTTCGTGGGGCTCGCCTGAGATCATGAGAAAGCAGGAAACAAGCATGGAACTTCAACCAGTGCTTCACCTGACACCCTTCTCAGAAGCTGAAAACACAGATTTTCAAATGGTGCACACAAGGTCATCCCTGCAAGGAGATAATTCCATATCCCTGGGATATTCTAACCTGGATGAACATGGCAGTGGGGATGCAGCAGTGGGAGTAGATAGAAAATCTCCAGTTTTCTCTGAAAGTACCTATTCTATTGATGATGATGAAGATATGGAGAAGTTTCTGGTAAGTGATATTTCATGTCTGATTTAATTCCAATTAAACAAGACTGCTCAGCCCTGTCCCCCTGGGAACATTGAGGGGCAAAGGGCTCCAAACAGTGGAAACCTACACACTGCTGGGAGTATGTCCAGTGGAGTTCTGGACATCCAATTATTAGTTTCCTACTGTGGTAATAACTGATAAATTTGTGATAACACTTAATGTGTCAGTAATTGAGGTAAACCTGTAAAACCTTTGCTACCACAGTACTCGGTGTACTGTAACAGCTCCCCACTTCTTCAGCAATCTGTTGTTGAGTGTTAGAAGAGACTCTTTTAAAACTGGAGAGCCCAGGCTTTTCTTTTTAATGGCAATATTTTATATATTGTATACATATACTTATATATTGTCTATATTGTGTAATTTCACTGGAAAGTGAAGTCTATAATTAAGAAAATTTATCTTTGGCTGTATATTTTTGTGGCCTTGCTTTGATGGGTAATTAAATAAAAATACCTATATCTTAAGACTATTAAAAGAGGAAAAAATTGAGATGGAATGGCTTCCAGAGAGCACTGATGTTGCATTAATCATGGTATTTGCCATCTCTAGCACTTGGATCAAGTAGGTATTTGCTAAAATCCACACTAGTAAAAGAGTTGTCATAAATGCAGAAACCAACAGCTGCATTCAGGCAACTAAAGTAATGTGAAAAATTTATTTTCCAGCAGATGAGAGAAGCTGATAATCTGACTTTAACCCCTTCGGATTTACAAGATGATGAAAGATCAAGAGCATCTGAAGTTAGTGATGGATGTGGCAGCAGTAAGTTGAACTTTGTAGATCCCTTTTACCTATTGTTAACTTCAATATTAAAACATGTTTCTCCTTTCTTCCAATTTCTTTTACTGTGGGTCTTTTATTGGAAAGCTGTGCTAAGCTTAGGCAGGTGATTCTTTGTTTAGAAACATACATATAATATATATATATGTATATTGTACCTGCTTTTACCTTTTCATCTACAAACAGGATAGAGGCAAGGGGTTTAATTGAGTCCTGACTTAACTACAGCACTTTCTCTGGTTTTAAAGGCAACTTAAACAAGTTAAAAATCAGTAAGTTAATTGATATCTCAACCAACCAACTCAATCTGACCCTGCATTCATAGGAGCAGAAGAAATCATGGTTATTTTGCAAGTCATTGTTCTAGTTTCAAGTTCTTTCCATATTTATAACACTTTGTGGGGATGGGGGTTGTCTCTTTCTTCAGATACCAGCTCAAATTTGGCAGCTAATCTAAAGCAGGAGCTACAAACATCAGATCACCTAGATGCCAATGTCATGGCTTATCTGCGATACCGGGCAATGATTCCAGATATTATGGAATCCATGAAAGAAAAGGAAATACTTTCACCACAGATGAAGGTAATGTATATGATTAATATGAGCATACCAGCAAATTAAAACTGGACAGCAAAAATTAAATGGTAATATAAAATAGCTGCTACATTTACACTGAAAACTGTTCTGTAATGGTTTAAACTTCAAATTGATTATGGTTCTTGTCCTTGCATTTCTTGTGACAACATTATTGACATTAGCTTGTACTTGTTAGAATTGAACTAGTTTTGCTAGGACAACACTTGTGCTGTTTTAGAATGTGGGGGTACAAGGATTGCTTATTCTGCTTTATGGGTTTGCCTTGGAGGCTTCATAGAAAGCTGTTTCAGAGGCAACCATAGCTTGGTTGGGATATCAGAGCCAGTTCAAGGAACATGAGGAATACAGAAGACTGAGAAGTGAGTTCTCACCCTAATCAGTAAGGAAAGTTGAAGAAAGTATATGTCTAGAACTCCTTGGTTTGCTGAGCAAGTTCTTAGCCATTTCAAAACTTCCACCTACAGAAAGGGAGAAATTCTCATCTCTGAGAGAATACAGTAGGTTACAGTGAGTTCTCAAGTAATAAGAAACTAGAAGCAAGTGAAATGCTCAATTCCTAGAAAGTGAATGCTGCCTCCTAGTATGCTTAGCAGGTTCCTTCAGCTTGCCCAGCACAATGGAGGAAGACTTGTGTGAGGGGAAGGTAAGCCTGAACTCAAATTCTCTCAAGCAGACTGGCACAGCTAACTCACAAGATGGAGACTGGGCCTTTATCACTGCTCAAGTCAGAAGGAAAATCCTTCCCCCATCTTAATAAGAGACATGATGCTCTAGGGTTGGAGAAGGAAGAACACATGGAGTAACTGATGTGATCCAGGAAAAGCCAAGCATGCAAAGCTGATGGAACCATCTGCTGGCACTAGAACCAGTGCTACCAGAAAAGTACATCAGGTGTTAGTAACTGGAGATTCCTTACTGAAAGGTGCTGAAGCACCCTCTTGCCATCCAGATATTTTCTCTGGAGAAGTTTGTTGCTTACCAGCAGCTTGTATTTGTGTTATCATAGAGGCTGCCAAGCTGAGTGAGCCCTACAGACATGTGTAGGGTCTAACAGCACTGTAACAGCACAGTTCAAAGGTTTGGGACCATGGGTGATAGTCTCTATCTTCCCAATCAGATGAAGGGGACCAGGATAGAGGTGAATCCCTGGCTGTGCAGCTGATGCAGTACTCAAGGTTTTCATTTTTCTTATCATGGATTTACCTTTGAGAAGCCAGAAATGTTGGGAGCTCATGGAATTTTCCTGACTAAGTGGGACAAGAGTGTCTCCACCAATAAGCTGGCCAAACCTATAAGGAAAACTTTAAATTAGATGAGGAAGGGACTGGAGGAATGAAGAAGTCCCTCCTATTATAAGAGAAGATCAGATTCAAGAGCACCAGAGGAGCCTGGACATAGCTAAATCCATGGGACCCCAAGACATGAATCCCAGAGTCCTGAGGAAATTTTGCAGTTGGAATTGCCAGGTCACTCTCCATCATTTTTGAAGAATCACAGCAGTCAGATAAAGTCCCCAGTGATTGGAGAAAAGGGAAACATAGCACTCTTTTATAAAAGCTTAATAACAAGCACTCTGGAAATTCCTGATCTTTCAGCCTCGCCTCATTGCCCAGTAAGATCGTGAAATGGTTTGAACATAAGTACAAAACTTCTTTGTGATGAGACACTGGCACAGAGAGGTGGTGGATCCCTAGAAGTCCATCCCATAATCCATTCAAAATGAGATTGGCCAGGACTTTGTGTAACCTGAAATAATAGATGTTCCCCATGCCTGTCACAGCAGAGTTGGACTAGATACAGTCTTGAAAGGTCCCTTCCAACTGAAAACCATCATTTAATTCTGTGTCTAAAAAATTCTGTCAGAGACTTCATGGAAGAGGTGAATTTTATTTTACCTTAAGAAACAGATGTTTTTTATTATTTTTTTAATTTCTTTTGTGGAGCATCAATCTAGACTTTACTGGCTGTAAGATTTGAGTGCATATTCCAGTACTGAATGTTTTGTTTGAACACTTTACTGTGCTTTCGATGTTCAGGTTTACTAAAGGTTTTCATTGATTATTGGAGTAATCACTGTTTTGATTCCAGTGACAGAAAAGCAACTCAAGTTTGTTCAAAAGTAATTTAAAAACAGAGTGCAAGGAAAGAATATCAAGAGTTAAATAAAAGTACTCTGAGTTGTTGTTAAAGTGTATAGCAATGAGGAGCAGCTCCACACGGAGGCTGGGATATTTCTGATGAGATATGTGTAAGAAAAGGATTTAAATCTCCAGTGCTTTTCCTTGAAAAGAAGCCAGGAAACATCTGTGCATGATGTAATAGTTTGTGAACAGGGAATTTATTTAAAAGATATTATTTGGCCTGACAATGTCAGAGGAAACTATTTCCACTGTGTAAACTATTAAAACTGGTTATTTTGGGAGTTGATATTTGTACATAATTTGCTAAATTAAGCCAACGTTGTCTAAATACATAATTCAGTTTTCTGGCATCACTGGTTTAGTAACATAGCTTCAGACTTGATAGAATTTAATTTATTCCCAGGAAAGTTAGCTAAAAAGGTAAAATACAACCCTTTGGTACAAATAATAATTTAGGCTTAATTGCCTTAGTGTGTTGATGCAGACACCTTATTTTGTTGTCTAGTGCTATCCCATCCTACTCTTACACTGCCAGGATGCTGGTGCCTGTTTCCTAACATTATCTTTTCGTGGTTTTTTTATTCTTCTCAGACTGTGCTGAAGATGGTGTATGAGGAGAGCCGTAAAATACTGGCTTTGTCAGAGCACCCCTTTGGTTTTAGGGAGCTGAAGAATGTCCCCCAGACCCGAGTGGCAATGGAGGGCTGGCAGAAGGAGGCATTATCCCTGCTGGATGCCATCCAATCACTGAAGGATTACCTCAGCAAGGTGGCAGATAGAGGAGACAAGGTATGGCTATAAAATGCCCTTTAAAGCAGGTTGTATATATATACAAATGTATATTATTTATATATATATATATACTTGTGACTTGTGTGTGTGTATATATGTGTTTAAGGAGTAAGGGACAGTACTCTTCAAACACTTCTAAAAATGCTTAAATTAATAGATATACTCTTATGAAAGAGACTGGATTAGAGATTGAGAGAGATGGCATTTTACAAAATTCTATTTTAACAGGAAACATCAGGTGTTGCTGACTGGAGAGGAGAACTTCTGCAAGCAGTACAGAGTGTGTTTGAGAAGGAGAGAAATGTGATGCAAATTGACTTGAAGTCTCACTTCTCCAATGCTGCATCTGGTGACATGAGTTCATTAGGGGAAAAGCTGGAGTATATAATGAAACAACAAGTATGACAAGCTCTTAAATCACATCTTTATTCTCTTTTATTTTTAAATTTTTTTTCAGTTTTATTGCTTTTGTTGTTAAATCTTGTGTGTTAATGCAGATGGCATGGGATCAGTGGCTTTTAGAGTTTCTGTTGTGGTAGCATTTTTCTTGAACTTTGTACATGGTGTTACAAAGCCTATTGATTATTTTAGCTCTCATCAAGAAAGACTCTGATAGTGAATAGGAAATACTTGATTGAATTCTTTCCCTCCTTCTCATTTGTCTAGAACGTCACAGACCTCTTATATTGAGCTAACTCTGAATCTGGGGACTTTTTGCCAATAATATTTAGTTTCTAGGTTGTAGTAATTGTTATGTATAAACTCGACAAGGCAAGTGAAGTGGGGTTTTTCTTTTTTACATAACGTTAACATTTTGCATTAATGTGAAGCATGAACTTTGTAATTTGAGTGCTTCTGTACAAAACTTGTACTGCGAGAGTTTCCTTAATATTTATGCTTGCAGAAGATATGGAAATAGCCTTGTGGTTTGACTAGGCCTTGATTTGTTTCAGGAGGAGCAGAGGCAGATGGTTGTGGAGCACCTCTTCTCCTCAGACCGCAGTAGCCTGCTCTCAGAAATCCAGGACCTCCGAGCTCAGCTCCGCATGACACATCTCCAGAACCAGGAGAAGCTCCAGCAGCTGCAGGAAACCCTCACCAAGGCTGAAGATCATGGCAACAAACAGGAGCACCAGCTCCGGAGGAAAGGTAATTCTTACTGTCTTTGTCAGTTCTTTCTGTCTTCTACATCAATTCCTTTTTGTTTCAAAGGTAAAAGGCAAAAAAGTGTCTTGCAAAGAAGCAGTTGCTGTACAGTTCATCAGTTTTACTGAATGCACTCAGGTTGCCTATGTTAGCAGTTCTTTCTCATATCAGTAGTTAAGACAAATCTATGAAAAGCAAAGAGAAACTGTAAAATAACCCAAAGCAACAGAACTGAAATAGTGTATACATGGAGACAACCCAGCAGAGACAGTAAAACCCCTGTTCGTTTGCAGGGAATTGTTTATCAGTATGTTTGCTAGTATAGAATCACAGAATGATTTTAGGTTAGATAAGACCTTTAACACTGGGGAGTCTCACAATAAACATGCTAAACCATGTTCCCGACTAAATAAGCAAGCCTTGGTTTTCACAGCAGGTTCCTTTTATGTAATAAAGAAACAAGTGCAAGTGACCTTGGTCAAAAATAAACATCTCTCTTCAAAGCAAAACACTGCTTTGAAGCAGCACATTCAGTAGTCCAATAGAGAGTTTTCTGGGAATTCAGAAGTTTACTGCTAATTTTATTTACATAATATTGTAGACATAGGTACACTAATTTTTTTTTAAGTACTTATCAAACAGGAACCTTCAAATTTAGGGAGAGTTGTTTCTCTTAACTCACTGGCCTGAACAAAGCTGGCAAAACAGGTTCTATATAGTGATTCCTGTCATAAAATGTTTATGTAAGTGGATAAGTTTGTTTAATGAGGTTTAAAATCCATTGGTGATGTTACAGCATATCACGGTGATACACAAACACTATGATTCTATCTTCCTGCTGATTCCTCTCATATTTGAAAAGAAATTAATTCTTCAGACAGGAACATTTCAATGTAGCTGGGGTTTTTTTTCGCATTTTGAATTAGTGTGATATTATACTGTCAATGTCTCTGTAATACAAATAACTGTTAGAGTTTTTTCTTATCCTAGTTGAATTATTGGAATATAAGCTTCAGCAGGAAAAATCTATTGTAAGTGACTTGCACAGCACCCTCTCTGAGGAGCAGAAAAGAGCCTCTGAAACACGTGATCTCCTGAATCAAGAAAATGCTTCCCTGAAATCAGAGCTTTCTGCAAGTAAGCAAGAGAATGAAAGGTTGCAGAAATCCCTGGAAGAGCTTCAGAGGGAAACAAATCATTTACGGTGAGAAGTAGATTTATTCATTTATTTGATTTATCAGGAGGTCTGAAAGAGCTTTATACTAATTGGATCCATAAAGGGCTTAGCACTTGGAAACATAGAGAGGAAAACTAGTCTCTCTCACTTTTAAGGGTTATGTTTTCTTTACTAAATTATGTCATCTTGGGTATGTTCCTTTCCCACTCCCTTCTTAGTGTATGCCAATATTTTGCTTTAGTCTTGCAGGACAACAGCTTTGCTCTGCCAGGATAAATAACCTATCTCTTAATTGTTCCTACATCGAGCAATTCTAGCTTGGCTTGCAGGGAGGTAAATGTTTTCAGATGCTAATTAGCTGTGACTTGAAAACTGACCCTCTTTAAAAACAATGGAAGCTACCTTAAAGAAACAAATCAATAGAAAGAACTCAGAGAAACTAACCCAAAATGTCTTGCTTGTGATGGTGGTGAAGCACGTTCTGTTCTAAACATCAAAATGTCGTTTTGAACTTTGCAGTGCTGAACTGGAAAAAAAAGAAAAGGATTTGCAATCTGCACTTGAAGACTTTCAGGCTGAGCAGCTGAAGGCATTTGAGCTGCGAGGTTGGTTTGAGGAACAGCAGCGTCAGCAGAGGAAAGCAGAGGATGAAAAGACCAAGGCCATGGAGGTAACGCCCAGCTCCCCTGGGGCATGACGTAAACTGGCAGGTTATTTGTGCAGTCTTCACCTCCACTGTTTTGTTTTTTTTTTTGTTTAGTTACTTAAAAACCTCCAAACCTTTTCTAAATGTACATAGCACATAGCATCTTTTTGCACAGAGTTAAAGCTTTCAGTTACTTTCATTAATTGCACCAAGATGGAATGCCCCGTTGTTTTGGTTTTTTTTTTCCACTTCTTCTTAGTGTTTTTTACTTTGCCATTTCCCCGTTGTGTACTGCCCCTTGCTGAGTAGGGACAGCCAGATTCTGCAGCTGTGTAACTGCACCCTTAATTCCAGAGCAGACTTACCATGAGGCTGTGAGGCGTGTGATCTCTGAGATTCTAAAGAAAACCACCCAATGATAAATAGGTTTGGCAGAGAGTAAGTGGAGCCTTTTCAATATAATATGTATTTTTGGAGGTTAACCAAAGTCATCCTGTTCCCTTCTAAATTGAACAGAAAACAAGTGAACAGCTTTCTCTCCAAGACTGTAATAGCAATGACTCAGTGCTTGTAAAAAGCCTACAGTAAATGGAAAAGGAGGAAGATTTAACATAAGCCATTTATTAAACCCCCAAACTAAACTTTCTCAAAGAACTCCAAACAATCCTACTTAAATTCCCTAAGTGAGAAAACACAATTCTGCCTATTTCATTGTAGTCTGGCTTCTCCTGTCATCTTCCTGGTAGTTGTTTGGGTTTGTGAGTGATTTTTGTTGGGCTGTTTGTTACTACTGCATGGTTAGGAAGTGCTGCTACCATGCTCCTCCTTTTCAGAAACCTGCTCATGCAAGGAGGACAGAGTAGCCAAGGCAAGGAGGAAAGTGCTTTGTCCCAGGGGAGGGTGTTTGATAGATGAGTCTGGCATTCAGAAATTTTTACTGAAGCCCCATTAGGGAAAGCTTCTGCCTTTTAGCATCTGACTTGGTTTTCTAGGAGGTAACAAATGGTGCTGGCTAGGTGAGGGTAGACCTCCCTATTAGGACAACAGTGCCAGCTCTGACTGACTGCAGTTCCCTATGCTGCCCTTTCAGTTCCTGCCTTTCTTTCTGAAGAAAGGCTGGCTCCCAGAATGGACCTAGGGAAGGATTCTAAAGGGAAAGAGGGTAGATTTAGATTATATATAAGGAAGAAATTGTTTCCTGTGAGAATTGTGAGGCCCTGGCACCCAGATTACCCAGAGCAGCTGTGGCTTCCCCATCCCTGGAAGTGTCCAAGGCCAGGCTGGACAGGGCTTGTAGCAACCTGGGATAGTGGAAGGTGTCCCTGCCCATGGAAAAAGATGAGAATGAGATGAACTTTAACATCCTTTCCAACCCATACCATTTTGTAATTTTTTTAATTAGTTTCTACTCTGTGCTTTGAAGAGATGGGCTTCCAAGTCCTGAAGCTTTACATCTACTCTTACTGCTTAGATTTTTCTTTTTAAAACATTAGGGCTATTGCTATGTCAGATGTTACTTATTAATGGGACTGAGTGATTTAAAAAGTAGTGATTTCCTAATGAGGGTCTTACTAACTGAAGAAGAAATCATGTACTGGGAGATACTGAGATGATAATTTTTGGGTTTGTTGCTTGGCGCCATATTGCTAAGGAATATTTTTCTGATACTTGTAACTTAAAATGAAACTTTTTAATACCTGAACTACTCTAGTTAAGTCGGATAAAATAGGAGGTTGAAAACTTCTAAATAGCAGCCAGTCCCACAAATGTGTTGGAATATTAATGTGTTCTCCCCTTGTGCCCAGGAGCTGCAGGCTGCCCTGGATGTGCAGTCAGTGCAGAATTGCCAGCTGGTCGTGTCCTTGGAGCACGAGAGGACAGTGACAGACAACCTCCGCAAGGAGCTGCAGATCGAGCACTCCCGCTGCGAAGCCCTGCTGTCCCAGGAGCAGAGCAAACTGAGGGAGCTGCAGAAAAACCTGGATGCTGAGAAAAACCGTTCCTTGGAGCTCCTGGATTCCTTGAATCATGAGCGTGTTTTGACAGAGCAGCTGACGGTGAGAGTGAAGGAAGGTGCTTCCTGTCAGCACAGGGAGTCGCTGCTGGAACAAGCCTTCATCAGAGAGCTCCAGGCCCAGCTGGAAGAGGAGAGGGCCCGAACTATGGAGCTTGCTGCTGTTATTGAGAAAATGCACCAGAAGGCCATGGTGTCCAAAAGGCAGCTGGAGGCTGAGGTACAGATGTGCTGTGAGGAAACCCAAAAGGAGAGGGAGGCCAGTGACAAACTGCGAGCCACCCTGGAGTCTCTTCAGGCACAAAAGCAAGAGGTGATCCGTTCCTTGGAGGCCCAGAAGGAGAGAGAGCTCAAGCTGAAAGCTGACTGGGAACAACTGCAGTCACTCTTCAAGCTGCTTAAAGAGCAAGATCAGAACAGGAAGGAGGAGAGGGAGAGAGAGCGGAAACAGCAGCAACAGACAGAGCTACAGAAACAGAAGGACTGGCAGAAAGATCAGGACAGACTGGTGAGAATGTTCTGCCTTACCCTGAAATAGCCACACACTGGGATTTAACCCTCTGGATGGTGTTCTTCAATTGGAACGTTTCCTTCTGTTAAAGCATTCTGAAAAATGCATTAAATGAGCTCTTGTCCTGCTTTTCTGAAATGCAGCTGTTTTCAAGGGATTGTGTCTGTGTTTATTGTTGATGGAAGTTGATCTTTAAATTTTTGCCTGTGCTGGAAATTGCTGCTTGTTTAGAGGTGAGGACGAATATGGGTTAAATGTAGGATGGAACCAAACTAGCTTTCATGTCATTGCCCTTATTTTGAGCTAGGATCCCAGTCATGGCATGAGACAGTATTGGTTTCACCCGGGGTTTCTCCTTGGATGGAGACAATGCCTACTCCAGTGCCATTAAATGGCTTCCTGGTGGCCCTGAAAAGCAGTGCTCTAAGCCTTCTCCCAAAAGTGGTCTGGCAGTTAAGGAACACCCAGATGGATATGCTAATTAGGTTTAGTGACACTTATATAAAAGCATATATAAGATGCAATTAACTACTACTTACTCTGTTCAAACAGCAAAACTTGGAACGGCAACACCAAAGGGATGAACAAAGAATTAAAGAACTGCAGGAAATACTGGCAATATTAAAAGAAAGAGAAAGAAATCCTCCAGCTCCAAATTGTCAGGAGGAACTCCTGTGTACCTCAAGCAAAGATGGAAGTGCCACACAGCCTGTGACAAAAGAAACTGAAAAACCCCACTTGCAACAGCAGCAACAACATCTGGAGAAGATAAGGCAGCAGTTGCTCTTTGTGGCTGGGCACCTGAATGAGTTCATATATAAAACTCTAGATAAGTGAGTTCATAAAATAGCACTTTGCTTTCCATCCTGCTTCTTAACTTGTATGGGTCATGGCTGAGAGCTCTTAGCTCTTTTAATTCATAAAAATTAACAGAACTTGCTAAGTTTTCTGTGTATTTGTAGTAATTTGTGTGGTAAATATTGCATAAGTAAAGCCTCAGAACTTTAAAGATCACATAGTGGGAAGAAGCAATTAAATGTGTGCTAACATTTTTACAAATCAGCCTGATCCTGAAAGGGTATTTCTGCCTAACAGGACGGTTAACGATTGGTCTGCATCAAATGAAGAAGCTGTAGCCTCTTTACTGCAGACATTAAGGGAACTAAAATCAGATTTGTCTCCTCCTACATCTCAGGTAAGGAAAATATTAACGTATTTTAATGTCCAACTCTGTCTTGCTGTATTGCAGAGTCTGCTGCTGAGAGCATTTTTTTTCCTAGATATGTAATGTGTCCAAGGATCACAAGCCTTGGGATGTGTTGCTGTAGTTTCTTTATGCATCCAGAGACAGTTGTTTTTCACCAAAACAGGCTTTTCAGGCTTTTGATTTTTCTAATTTCTCCTTCCTTTAAGTTACTGAACCACATGCTCAGGAGACCAAAGGAATTTTCTGCTGTTCCCCCCTTCAGTTGCAATAAATTGGAGAATATCAGACAGGGAACCTGGCAAAATGTCAGCATGGAAAGTCTGTGCCAAATGGAGCTGTCTGATCAATTAGCTGCCAAATGGTGCAGTAGAAGTCAAGGATGTAGATGAGTCATGTAGAACTCCTTCAGACACTACAGATTGTACTGAAATAAGTTTCTAGGAGAAACTGGAGTCAGTTGTTTGTACTGCCTTCTCTAATGTCTACATTTTGTTTCAAGGGATAAAACATCAACTACCTTTAAAAAAATCTCCTATTTCTTTTGTGAACTACTGCATCATGCACTGATGTAAGTGATGACAAGTAAATTTGTAGTTGATACAAAGAGGGTTACAAAGGCAGAACTTCCATGAAGAAATGGAGCTGGAGTCCTGGGTCCCATTCCTAGAAGAGATGACTTAGCACAGAACTCAGTTTCACAGAACCACAGCATGGTTTGGGCTGGAAGGGACCATAAATCCCATGTCATTCCACCCCCTGCCATGGGCTGGGACACCTTTCACTAGACCAGATTGCTCCAAGTCCTGTCCAACCTGGCTTTGGACACTTCCAGGGATGAGCCAGCCACAGCTTCTCTGGGCAACAAGACTCTCAGAATTGAATGTGTGATTTTTCACAATTTTTCACAGCTTGTTTTTGTTGTATGTGCAACTTGGTTTTGCACATACACAGACATCTTCACTATTTCTGTGCTGCCTGTGGATGTAGAAGAAAGTCAGGTGAAAGTGAGAAGGGATTTTCAATTTCCCATTGTGCTGTTTAACACCCGAGTACCACTGCTGGTTTTTGGGGTCATTGTTATTATGTTTTCGTTTGTCATAAAGTTGGGTTATTACTCGGTTTGAGATGTTTGGTTGTGAAAGTAATGTGCAAAACCCATTGTGGCTCACTTCCTTTAGGTTTCTGTTTTAGATGAGATCTACAGGTGATGCTGACCCTGTTCAAGAGCTGGAAAGAGAAGCTTGGCAACGAGAGAGGAACATGCTGCAGAACATGCTGAAACAGGCACAATCCCAGCTGGCTAAAGCCAATGCTGAAATTGAAAACAAACCAGTGGCAGAAACTTCCAATCCTAAGGTAAAATCATGGGGATAGCCAGCAAAGGGGTATCTGGAGCTTGGAGAGCCAGCAGAGTCACAGCTAGGAGGTATAATTAGAATCTGTTCTGCTGGGAAAAAAAGGGATCTGTCAGATTATGGCATTTATCTTTCACTTACTGCTGTAATCTTCAGTTGCTGTTTTAAAAGGTTTATTTTCTAGATGAACAGTTTGATGTATTATTTTAAATTAGAAACTTTCCCCATATGTACCTCATCAGAGAAATTCCTTTGGAACTTTCTCAGTGTTAGACAGGAACTTGCATCAAAAGTAATCTGGATCTTTGGAATTTCTTTCCACGCTTAAATGAGAGGGAGACTTGGATTTCTTGTCTAAGCATGAAAATAGAAAAAAACACTCATTATTTTTAATCCTTGCTGACTTACCTTAAATACTTTTTATTTTTCTGACACTTTGATTGTAATCAAATCTGATAGGCATCTCTTCCACCATACTTTCTGGCTAATTTTTTTCTAAGCAGATGTATTTTCTTTAATAAAGAGTTAAACTGTTTTAGAGTTTTGAGTATGACAATTTTGCTTGAAAATATTCAGGAGATTTAAAGAGGTCTGACACAAAATCTGGGTGGATTTTAGCAGTGTACAGAATTGTTTTGGCTGCCTTTGTGTCCTTGGTCTGAAGAGTTTGTGACTGGGTTTTTGCAACAGTAACTGTGAAAAAATTGACTTTTTTTTCCCTTGCAGTTGCAGAGATTATATCGAAAGTACATTCGAGCAGAGAGCTTTAGAAAGGCTCTAGTTTATCAGAAGAAATACCTCTTGCTGCTGCTTGGTGGGTTTCAGGACTGTGAGCAAGCAACTCTGTCTCTGATTGCCCGCATGGGAATCTACCCTTCCCCTGCAGACCTGCAGCTCTCTGGATCACACTCCCGGCCTTTCACCAAGTTCAGGTGTGCAGTCAGAGCCATCATTGCCATCTCAAGGTAAAGCCAAAACACTCCCTGTCTCTTATATGTGATATTTTCTTGGAAACTTAAAAAATTCACAGTTCCCGTGGCTTATCCTATATTAATATTAAGCAGAAGCAATCTCCAGAACTGGTTCAAGCATGACTTGTTAGCTGAGTTTGATCTATACTAAAAATTTGTAAAAAGCATCTTTAAGTTAAAGAGGGGTAGATTTAGATGAGATATTGGGAATAAATTTTTCCCTGTGAGGGTGTTGAGGCCCTGGCACAGGTTGCCCAGAAAAGCTGTGGCTGCCCCATCCCTGGGAGTATCCAAGGCCAGGTTGGACAGGGATTGGAGCAGCAGGGATAGTGGAAGGTGTCCCTGCTCATGGCAGGAGGATGGAACAAGGTGGGCTTCTTTAGGATCCCTTCCAGCCCAAACCATTCCATAACTCTATGAAAAAACTCCTTGAGTGATACCCAGCTGCAGTGTATTTGGGAACGAGTGCACAGCATTACAAACTGAAGTCCTTTGGGGCTGACCCTTATCTCCTTGGTGTCACTGCATAGTCTGTCTTGTATCATGTAGCATGTCATCTGTCAGGAATGGTTTTCTCTGGCATCCAATAGCATGTTTCACTGAGTGTGATTCTGCCATGCTCTGTCACTATCAAATGGGTTTTGCTAGCTGTACATGGAACAACAGGCCATCTCCCAATGGCTTTAAGCCCATTGAATGAAAAAAAGAAGCATTTTTAAATGTAATAGGTGGTTATTTCTGAGCAATTTCGTTGTCTAGTTAAAATTATTACTAGCAAGTTTCTATCAGGAGATGACACAGAGTCTTTGACATGAATAGCATAATAACAGCAAAGGCTGCAGGACTTCTCAACTTGTGCAGTAATCTCTAAACTCCTCTCAGGTAGGAAGAGCTCTCTCTAATCTAGGAGATTAGGAGCAGAGCCAAAACATGCTAGACTTTTCAGCAGTTCAAAGATGATTGCAGGGTAAAATGGGATAAGCCAGCATTCCAAAGACTGAATTTGAAGAATTCTCAAGTCATTCCCACAATTACTGCTTATGTTGCTTAATAGGTTTCTATACCAACAAATAATAAAATTTAACATATTTCTGCTTATATTTAATGTTTGTACAAATTTATTTTCTTACCAAGGTTAAAGTTTTTGGTGAAGAAGTGGAACAGAGTTGGCAGGAAGAGCACACAGGGTGAAAGCATCTCTCACAGTATAGGAGGTAACACAGGTACATGTTTGGACAAGTACATTCTTTGCTTTGTAATTTCTCTTCAGTGATATGTTTCATTTAAAAACAAAACCAAAGTGGGAAAATCTGTTTATTTTGCCACTGTCCATCTGTAGAATACATGGATAGATGGTCTGATGCAAGTCAATATGGACTTGAGTTACTTGAGGAGCACTCGTGTGTTCAAGTTATTGGTGAGTGCATTTGTAAGAATTCCAACAAACATCTTAATGCTGCACCCAATACTGGGGAACTGTTGCCCTTAATGCAAAATTCCATCACTTGTGCCTTTTCAATTAAAAAATTCGGATTAAATAGTGTGTTTTTTCATTACCTGGTACTATGTAATGTTCACTGTTTCTAAGTTGCTTCAAGTCCTTACTTTAAAAGAAATCACTACCTTTGTGCATAAAACCACTGTGGTATGATTCCTAAGAAACTTGAACTTTCTATCTCAATACAAAATAGCATCACAATTCTGTTAAATATGGTTAAAACAAACAAAAAAACCCCACACAAACCAAAAAAGCAGTTAGCTGTAGAAAGTGTATTTACCTGCATTTAAAACCAAAGTTAAGCATACTCTATCAATTTTCCTGGGTTTATATGATGTGTTTATGATAGCCTGTTCTCAGTGGTTCCTAGTGCATATTTTTTAACCATTCGTATTTACCACAGCCTCTGGTGCTAGAACAGAAGTCCTGAAAGAGCAGCAGCCCCCAGCTGTTCCTGTCAGCTCTCCCCCTACCCAGGACAGGGACACAGGGCTGTGTCACAGAACCAGCCGTGCTGCAAGATTCGTGAACCTCTCCCCTCGATCCTCGTCCCGCTCACACAACAGGTCAGTCTGCAAAGATGGGACATGCTTCAAATCATTCTATTGTCTTGTATTCTTTTAACTTTGCTGAGTGGTTTGTGGGGACAGACAGTGCTTTTCACAAACAGCCAAGTAGTCTTCTGGTTTGCATGGAATTTAGCAAAACGTTTTGGAGAGTTTGAGACCTACAGGCACTTCCAAAAGACTTAATTGTACCCCACCCTGTTCCTCTGTCGTGGCATGTGTCTGTTTCTGACAGCCCTGCTAAGAAAAGTCACCTGTATGACATGGAACAGGATATTAATAACAGCAGCCCTGACTGGTGTTCAGCTTGACTGGATTAGTGTTGGCTCAGGTCTGATGTAGATCCAAAGTGGGCTAAAGGATGCCTGCTGCTGCTCTTGTTTCCAGAAACAGCTATACAGATGGAAGGCTGGGAGTGGTTCCAGTTTTCTTTGCCCAGAATTCCTGACTATATGAATGTAACTTCTGGATATATTTGAGAGTATAGCATGAGAAGGAGAAAATCATTTGTTTTCTTTTGAAGATTGCATCCGTCCCCAAGTTCAGCTCCAGGAAAGTCCCTTGTGCCACCTCAGGATCCTGAGCAGTCACTCACAGAATATATCCATCGATTGGAGATGATTCAGCAAAGGCTGCAAGGGGTGCAGCCAGGTAAGAACCACCTTTTTACCCCTCACAGCTCCTGCAAGTCTGGACTGCTTTTCACAAGGTTCTTTGTACACAAAGTCAATAAAGAGCATCATTTTAAGGAATAATTATCATTATTGGGGGGGTAACAACTAAGTCAGTCTCTGAGAGGAAACCTTTCTGAATCGTATCTGAAGCTACTTCAAGTGTGACATTTCTCTAAGTTCATAGTGAAAGAGAGAAGATTGAATAATTTCGTGTGATTTCTGCCCCCCTCCCGTTCCCCAGTCTAAACAAGCAAGTGCTGCAATTTAAATGAAGCTGTGCATAGAGTTAATTTGCTTTAAAGTGAAACATAGCTGTTGTAATAGCTGAGCAGGGCTTTCTCTGCAGCACAAACTGTAATGCTTCCCTTATTTATCACTTCCTTATGTTCATAACAGAATTTAAAAAAAGATTTGGAGGCTGGTAAATACAGCCATCTAGTTCTAAGATTTATCAAAGAGCACACAAAGGATTGTAGTGGCACTTAGCTTTGCTATTTAAAACAGTTTCACCTAATTTCCAGACCAAATTTACTTAGTTTAATTAGTCTAATTACCTCCTCTTGTTACATGTTGGTTATAGCACAGAAACACTTTGTCCTAAGGAGGAACTCGCAAATTGTCATCACATCATCCTGAAATCCTGAAGAGTTTGGGAGCTTTGACATTGTTCTCAGCAGGACTTTACCTAGGAACTTTATTACCATGACTTTGTGGGTGTGTTTGTTTTGGGTTTTTTTTTCCCAAATACTGCAGATGCATGGCTGATACAGATAGATAAACAGATTTTAGACTTGAAACCTGTCAGCCTTTATGGAAGTAACAGTTTTTCAATTATCAGTTTTCAAGCTTCATTCCAAATGTGCAATAAGTACTTCACAGCTGGGACACCATGAACAGCACTTCTGTGAAAAGTGCATATTATTTCAGTCATTTCCATGTTACCAGGATGAAAATGTCCAGGCATTGCAGAATGATGCTGCAATCTTTAGCACAGTGCTGTCAGCCAAATGATTTCCCAGATCCTAATAAACTTAAGGCCTCTACTCAGTGGCAAGACCTTTCCTAGCAAGGTCTAGGAAATCACCACAATAGTGGCAGAATTGAGCTGTCATTGGGGGTAAAGCAGGCCTGTGATGGAGCACTGGTCCCAGGGTATGAATGTTTGCTTTGGCAGATATTTAGGCTTTCAAATCCTGTTTGGGATTGCTCCTAGGTGGCTCATGAAAATTGGAATTGCTTTCAGTGTAGCTCATTGCTTTGAGGAAATAACATGCTGCTAATTGTACACTGCTGCATCATAACACAGGCAGTTTTCTAATATTGGTCTGTTTTTTTAAATTTAGGGCAAGTGCTAGCTTCACCTCATCAGAGAAACCTAAAAAAGTGATGGGAACGCTTATGAAATCTGTCCTGCAAGTTCCTGCTTCCTCTGAGTTGGTCCTCACTCGACAGAGGCACTTGCAATCTCCCGTGCAACTGAATAAAGGGCAGTGCTTTTACAGCAGATTTTTATATGACTCTTTTTATTATATTTTAGTACTTTAAGAGGGACTTACTTTTCACTAAGAACAATGTTTTACATTCTCATGTGAAATTAAGTCAACAGCTGAAGTGTGCCTGCATCGCTGTATTGTAAACTGCAAAAAGTCTGTGGTGTTTATTTTTCTATAGTGTATAGGTGGATTCCTTGTAAAAAAAGTTATTAAAATGGCATTTTATTAGTGAATTCTTACATTGTGTCGTTGTTTATTTCTGTCATACCTATTTATTTATTTTGCTGTTCCTAGAATTATTTGGGTTTTAATATTTCTGTGGGATTATTCCAGTTAAAGGAATAGCTCAAGTATTCTCAAAAATATCAAAGATATTCTGTGCATTTTTAGGGTCTGCTCTTCTGGTTTTTCAGTACATAAGTCCTCCCTCAGTCTGCCTTATTTATTCTGGACACTTTTAGTTTCATTTTTCTAGTTCAAATGGCCCATAATTTTGTTTAACTCTATGCATTTTTGGCAAAACATACCAAACAAAACCTGTGCACTCTGTCTACATCTACTGTAAGTGATCCTGTCTCTGTCTGGTATTTAGTGCTGTAGCTACCTTCAGGAGGACAGTTCCAAATGTGTATGAAGTTGCTTGTCAGAGAAGAGTAAAGAGGTGCTCTGGTGCTACACCCCTTTCCAGTCACAATGTCTCAGTACAAAAATGAGAGAGGTCCAAGTATCATGCTGAATAAGATCTTTGAGATATTTCTAGATTTCTTTAGAAAAGGCATAGGAAGAACTATAATACTAGAATATTTTAAACCTCTGGATGTGTAAAATCTCTACCTTTGAAGCAGATGTGGTGTTTAACTTTGGAGCATGAGAAAAATCTCTTCTGGAGGCAAATTGTTCTGCTGCAGCCTATTAAAACGTGTTACTGGGTATTGAGAATTATATATTGGCTTTCATCTAAGATTATTTTATTACTTATTTAACTGCTTTTGTTTTGGTAAACTCATCTGTCAGGTAGATCACCATTTGGTTCTCTGGAAAAAAAATGTGGAGGTAGATCTCAGCACATGCACAGATTTATTACCCCCTGACAGCTGTAGGAGAATCCTTGAACTGATTGGGCATAAATTTAAGAGAGCTGTGAACAAACAATATTTGATTTGATGTAAAAGTTTGGCCAAAGTAACTTAACTTGTCCAGAGTTCCAAACCAATTTGAACTAAGTTTCAGCTGGCTCAGTGGCCGTGTCATATTTCTTTTAAAAATCAGATTGTAAGGGTCCTAATACTCGATCCAACGCTGTCATATTGCACACACTGAATGGTGCTGGTGCTCGTTTTGCTTAGCATAGCACAAGTTGATCCCCTTTTGGGAACAGTGCCTTTCTAGAGCAGAGTTCAGAACTGGCACCAAATCCAATGTGTAATAACACTCACAGCTGGATGTTCCATGCTGAGTGTAAGCAGAAGGGCTGTGAGCCCTGAGGGCCTGTGCTCAGAGTTAGCCAGTCAGTACTGACACTACAAATCCAAATTGCTGCCTATTTTTAAAATCTGGCATTTCTAGGGGGACAATTAAAACTACCATTTAGTTGAAAACTTACTCTTTAAAGGACAGTTGGCACATCCTAGGGATCAGTTCTGTTTCAAGGGAGTTTGGCTTTGCATTGGCACACTTTAAAATCAATCTGCAGGGCCTTTTTTATGTCCCAGAATATGCAAGGCTGTTCCCAAGCCTTGGCAGAGCTTTGCATTCAGAAGAACTTTTCTGTGGCACCTCCCTCCATGCCCCTCCAAGAGTCTCCTTTTGGACAGTCCCTGTTTCCAGGAACACAGGTGGGACATGGAGGTAAGGGGCAGATGCTGCAACCTCCCATTCAGGAAAGAAATCTGCACATAAATGCTGCCTTGAGAGGCTACCTAGAACAGAGGCTAGACAATGTTAAAGGAATAAAGTGGGTATTTATTAAAAGGCCTTCAAAGGACACACCTTGGGCAGTACAAGAGCCTGGCCAAGGCTACACCCAAGATGGACAATGGATCACGAGTTTTCACACTTTTGTCAGTTTTGGTCCGTGTACATATTGGGGTTAATTGTCCAATTACAGCTCCAGGTTATGAAGTCCCATCCTCCCAGTTTGCTCTCCTCAATTTGCTGTTGTTTGCAGTTTTTGGGCCTGAAGCTGTAATGGTGTCCTTGGTTCTTGGGCTGTAAAAGGATTGTTTTGTCTGACTGAACTGTGAAGAGAACTTGCTAACACTTTATATGAAGTTCAGAGTTATATAGTAATGTACAGAATCTGGAAAATATGAAAGCTAAAACTTAAGCATCAAAGGAATCCAACCCAATAGGATCTGAGCTACAGGTACTGTGTTCCCATCAGTTCCCTGATACCCACAGACAGCTTTCTGAAGAGGAGTGGAAACAGAACTGTTTCTGCCTGGTGTAAGGGATGACATTTTAAGTAATATGGTGTTCCTAGTGCTGGTATGGTGTGTCTGTGCCCTCGGAAGGGCAGCCACATGGGACACGCTCTCCTGTGATGTGCTAACCTCAGTAATCTGAGTGGAGAAATCGGAAGCCTCGATATGAACCCAATCATCCCAAACAGGAGCAGTGTTTTGGACAGAAGCAGAAGACTACTCCTCAGATTTCCCTATTTTCTAGTTCTAGGAAAGTTGCTACTGCCAGAGCAGTTTGGGTGGTCAGGACTGCTGGCAAGGTCCTGGATTTGCTTCTGGGAGGGGACAGGAATGCCAAAACATCAGATCCTGCGACACTCACCCTGTAACTTACAGTTGAACAGGGAAAAGCTGCTGCCTCAACACAGCCACCAACCCAAGCACTTCCTGCGCTCTCCACTGCCCTTCGAGAGGTGGCTGGCTTTAGAAGAGACACCCTCACTAATTTTTATTTTTTTTCTTTTATGCCGTCCCAGACACGACTTCACATCCAGGCTCTCACAGAGGAATTCTGTCGATGGAAATGTCCATGCCCTATCCTGGGACACGCGCTGGGCTGGGTGGGCTCAGGCTCGGCCACAGCTCCTATTTTCCGCTGGGAGGAAGGAGTGGGGAGAGAAAGAAAGGGCAGTTTCGGTATTTTCAGGAAAGGGGCCTCACCACAGCAGGTGCCAAGGCAACGCGGAGCGTGAGGAAAGGGAAGAGAGCCTGGGCAAAGCGGCGGCTGGATGAGGAGCGGGCGGGCCGCGCTGGGGCCCCTCCCCAGCCCAGGCACGGCCCGTCCGGGCTGCGGCAGCGGCTGCGCGGGGCGGCGGGCCCGGCACCACCTCCTCCCTCCCTCCTTCGCTGCCTGCCGGCCGGGCCCGGCACTGCCCGCCCCCGGCCCGCCCCCGGCCCCACCTGCGGCAGCGCTGGGCGGTGGCTCCGCCGGGCCCGCTCGCTGCTCGCCCACCCGCGCCATGGCGGCGGAGCGCGGGGGCTGCGCGCTGGAGGCCGTGCCGCTGCCGCCCGAGGTGCGCGAGAGCCTGGCCGAGCTGGAGCTGGAGCTGTCGGAGGGTGAGCGGGGCCGGGCTCGGGCCCAGGGCGGCTGTGCGGGGCCGGGCACGGCCGGCGGCGCGGCAGGAAGGCCGCGGGTGGCTGCAGCGGGCGCGGGGCCTCTGATGGCTCTGGGGGCGGCGGTGTCTCGGTTCCCCGGCGCTGCTCTCGGCGGGCCCGGGTTCCTCTCCTGCCGGAGCCCTCGGCCGGGAGCTGGGAGCCGGGAGCGGGCGGCGGCGCCGGGCTCGGGCGGGCCTGCGCCGTCCCCCGCCATCCCCGCGGCTGCACCGAGCGCCCGCGGCCCCTGCGACTGACGCCTGGTGGTGGCCCCTCAGGAGCTCTTCCACATGGGCGGCTAGCGTGCTGCTGGATACTCCGGAAAGACAATTTATTTCAGTTTTAATACCTGTTCCTAACTGTAGCTGGAACCTTAAATCTCGCTCTCTGCATCTGTCATTAATTTCCAACTTTTTTTTGTGCTTCGCCGTATATACAGGCAGGAATATGATGATGCTCGCTCCGTTTTTATAGAACTACAGAGTCATGGGATGGTTGGGGTTAGAATCTTTAAGCTCGTCCAGTTCCATCCTCCTGCCATGGGCAGGGGCACCTTCACTATCCCAGGTTGTTCCAAGCGCTATCCAGCCTGACCTTGGATCACTGCTAGGGATGGGGCAGCCACGGCTCCTCTGAGCAAGCTGTGCCAGGCCCTCCCCACCTTCCCAGGGAAGGATTTCTTCCCGATATCCCATCTAACCCTGCCCTCTTATCAGTGGGAAGCCATTCTCCCTTGAAACTCCAAAGTCTCTCCAGCTTTCTTGGAGCCCTTTCAGGCACTGGAAGGGACCCTAAGGTCTCCTTGGAGTCTTCTCCAGTCTGAACACCCCCAGCTGTCCTTGCCTTCTGCAGAGCAGAGGGGCTCCAGCCCTGTGCATTAATGGGCTCAGAGGTGACAATATGCAGTGCCAGGCAGAGGATCACTGTGACTATTTGATGGATTTTCAGCCCCCAAAAGGAGACATCCCTTCCACCTCCAGGTCAGTGTTTGATGATGACAGCCCTTCTGTAATCCCTTTGGGTGTTAGTCGTGGTATCTCTGTTAAAGAGCTGGGGAAGGATTTTCTGCATACTGATTCTCTGGCACAGCCCGTCCTGCAGACAGGCAGGTATAGGAGAGCACGCCAGGGTGGAGGTGATGGAGGCAGCACGTTTTGGGAGTGCTTGTTCATTGCATTTTCCCCAGTTACACTATCAAGCTGTACCCTTGAACAGAAGGGCTAAGAACCTGTTAATACCACCTGTGGGTTTAGGATTAGGAGTATTCAGTGTGCTCCTCAGATAAATTTTCAGATCAGCCGGTGAGCAAAACTGGGGCTATTTCACCCAAACGTGCTGCCTGATTCGGGTCACGGTTTCATAAGTTATTCAGAGGTCTGCTGTCATCATCTCCAGTGTGGAAGCTTTGGTGCAGAGGCAGTGGAGAAGTGTAGGATGGGTGACTGTTGTCCAAGTGTGACCTGTTGCTGCATGTCTGCAGGCACAGTCAGAAGCAGTACCTGGCATGCCCTGTTGCAAGATGAGTTGCTGCGTGTGTGCTGGGGCCGTGTGCCCTGCTGGGTGCAGTGGTTCTTCCTGTGTGCCTGCTGACACGTGCAGGCATATCCTGGGGCTGGCTCCTCTGCTGTGTGACCTGTGTGTTTGTTTAACTGATAAAATACGGGTTTTTATGGGTAGAT